GACCTGGCTATATGGCTATGCCAGTTGTATGCAGTCAGGCAAATTTCCAAAACCTGACCAGTATCTTAAAGATTTTACCTTGTGGGCTACCTAATTTTTACACTCATTACTTTAATCTCTGAAATTACCAGAGGTCAATTTCAAACTAAGAAAGGACAAATAGGTCTGCATCTTACAAAATATTTCAGTAAATAGAGTTATATATAATAACCATATTACTGCAAATTAAAAAATTTCAGCCTAGACACAAATAAAATATGAACTAATGAAAGTTAAGGGCAAACCAATTGCCATTTTCAAGGGTACCCCAATACAATACACAACAATATTTACATCTTCATCATATATATTTTTCTATCATTAAATAACATTAAATCACAACCTCTAATAACAAAAGAAACAAAATTAGGAAACAGAATTATTGTCTTATTGACAAGAAAAAAGCTCATTTGTAATAGTATCTTAATGGCTAAACACCGACACTTTTCCTAGTAAGATTAATTGGCTCTTTTACCACTAGCTGATAAGCTTTTGCAATTTGACAAGGCAGAGGCTCTATACTTTTTGCTTTTAGATCTTGAAATTTTATACCTACTTAAACTTTACAATTGACAGTTCCTAATTCAAAGACAGGTAAATCCATTATTCATACCAAAAAGTGTACATTTAAAATAATGTGTTTGGTCAACTTTAAGATTAATATTGGTACATCCGTTATTCATATTTCATTTTTTTTCTTCTCAAAAATCTTAAATGATAGTGGGCAAAACAGAAAAGAATTACTCAAGATAATTATTATATAATTTTGAAAAAAAAAAAACACGGAAAACATGGAAATACAGGTACATTGTTAAAATCTTTTTCACAAAACTTTTATTATTCTTGCAATGTAAAAATTACATACATATAAATAATAATACTACTAAACATACACTATTGTACATTATATTGCTTCGAGGGGAAACTCATATACCATTCTATCATAAGCAACAGGTGTCTATCCATTTATGAAATCTCCAGCAATAAAGTTATTATTGTTGCATTATACATGTACACTGCTCAACAAAAGTTACTTCACACTTGTTCAATTTTTATGCAATAAATGTTTCAATCAATATAATGTTATCATTCCTTTTGCCTGAAATCACTGTACTGAATAGTGTTATTTAAGAAATAATATATCCCCGACAGTGATTTTATAGCTAAATAAAATCACTGTTTGGAATTCGGATGTTAGGAATTATATCCTGAGGGACTAGCCCGGGTGATAAAATGTTACGCATATTAACGACAGTGATTTTATTAAACAACACATTTTGTTTGCCCCATCCCCGCTCCACTAAGAAGTGGGGCAAAAAAATTCAAACATTTAAATAAGAAAAATTAGAGTAGTCACAAACTTTTGGAGGGAACTGTAGAAATTCACAATATGTAGATATGTATCATTTTCAAAAAGATTCAAATTGAAATAATTGAAATAAAGAATACCTGAAATATTCAGCTGTTACTTAATATAATATTGTGGAAAGAATTTATTATATAAACTGCACCTTACAGCAGAACTGAGCTTTTTAAAGTAATTTATAACTTAATATATATCATAATTTTATTGTAGGAAATTCATGAGAATTTTTTGGTTAATCATAAACTAAAAACACACAACATATTTCTGCCAGTGATTTTTCATTACACTATTATTGAAGGGAAAAATGAAAAGAAAACACAAATAATAAAGGCCCAACCAACTGTAAATTTTGTATGACTTGGGATTTAATTTTGGGGGTAATTCCATGATAAAATATTCAAAAATATAATGTGTAAACTTATTTATAATTTTAGCCTACTGGCAGTTACAGAATTTATCCATGCTATCAGTGCAGACAAAAATCAGCTGGCATATTTGTACTGTCTGATCATGGTCTGCACTGTTTGCTATTGCTGTCAGTATATATTTTGAAATTTTCCACTAAAAATGATGAATGGTTTTGTTCAGATTGAAAGATGGACAAGTCCATTGAAGATATTTAGGAGAGTAGGTGTATATCTACTTTGAACATAAAAAAAAATCTATCATTTCTTTGTAATTATTTGAAGTCATGTTATTCATTTTTAAGTTCAATATTCAACATTGAACAAAACTATCACTTATGCTTATTAGGTAAAATAGACTTCAATATATCAATTATCCAAAAATTAAGAAAAAAAAAAAATTTCTATAAAAAAATAAATAAATAAGAAATATGTATAATTTAACGGCAACTCCCTTTAAACCTGCATATTCACATTCAGACAAAACATTCAAAACAATGGCTCCTTTATCAAATTTCTCAGAAAATTCTTATTTATTATTTTCTTTTTATAAAAAATATTTTCCTCTATTAAAATAATTCCTCTCTCCAGAACATGACTGATTTTCTACTTCTTACAGACTGAGCAACTGTTCATAACACGGCAATCTGCCTGAAGATCAGAAATAAATCTATAAATTTATGGATTGCTTATACAATTTTAATATCTCAATAAAATTTTCTATTTCCGAAATAAAACTACAGGGTGTAATAACAATACTTGAATAGCTTCTTCATATCAGTTTTATGGGTTTGATATTCGCCCTAACTAGAGGCGTGTAATTAAAATTCCTGAAAATGTTTTTGGTTTGGATAAAATATACCGAAAAATTTCCGAATACCTTTAGTTAGCAAAAAAAAAAACATGAATAAATTTAGTTGTGTGAATAAATTTTAAATAGAATAAGTAACAATAGTGCATTTTCCCAACCAAACTACACTAGATCTATAATTTTATATATATTTCTGACTATCTTAAAATTAATCACATATTTAATTTATTTATATTCGACTTTCTAAGTCATAATATCTAAACTATCCAGTCAGCCCTTATATCTCTACATGACTTACTTAGTCATTAAATTTCATGTACCACTACCTTGGTCTCTGTACTTTCATATATGACTTAGTCAGTTTTCATTTTCCACTCAGTCTCTTTACCTTGGAATAAATAAATGGAATGTGAATTTCTGGAAATGTAAAAAAAACAAAAAAACATAAATTTACATATAAAACAGGCCTTACCGATTACTTATTTTTAGTAATGGACCAAAGAGAAACCAATTTTTTTTTCTTCTTAGACCATTAAAAACAAGTTACCTCCCTTTACTAATGGCCTTTACAGGAATAAGTTACTTCCCCTTTTGTGCAGATTTTAAACAAACAAGAGTGACATCCCTTCTAAATAAAAAGTTCAAATACACCATCAACCAAACTTTTTTAAAACAAAATATTTTAAAATAATTGACACATAGTTATTTCTATTGCTTTAGTACATGTCTATGATAATAATATCTGGGACATAATATAGCGGGACATGTAACTACTGACTATAGCAGTGTTCAATTAACAGCTGATTTATCAATAAACATAGTGTTTAAAGATATACTCATCCTTGAGTAAAATATTTTATTCACAGAAATCTATCAAATTCTTTAAACTTTTCCTGAAAATCAGTAATTTTAATAAAAAAATGAATAAACTATATATAGCAAGCTGCTTTCCCTACTACAGGTCAAGTAAAGGTGATTGTTTCTTTAAAAAATGCCAGTTTTTTTAATGACACTATATATTCATACTGTGACCATCTGCAGTGTGTACAATTTTAAACATAACATACATGTATCTACTTTGTGTGAAGTCAAAATACGTTTATTTTATATTTGAGCCTGTGTAGCAATTATCAACATTTTTTTCTAATATCAAATTTGAGCATAGTATATCTTTAAATCATATATGAATGCCGATATTGCAAATAAATTTAGCTGATAAACTTTCATAACATCATGTTAAAACCATTTAAATATAAGATAATTAAAATCTTACACCAGTTGGCCCTTATATATCTCTCATTCACACTATTTATTAAGGACAAAAAACACCCTTTTACAACAATCAACAGGACATAGTGGGCCATGCACGGATCTAATTAGACGAAGAGATGCTGCAGTGCTAGTCTGAGTAGCCTCCAATTGCTTGTCCCATTATATCATGTCCCAGATAATATAATATTGTAACATCATTTCAATATCATTTACAGTGTTGAAACAAAACACTTATTAAAAACAGATATAACCTAAGAGCCTTATAATATAAATACAATGTATTAGATAGCAGAAAAAGATAATACAAAATGGTAAAATAAAGAGAGATAGAGAGAAACCGTTATGTGGAATGTTTTTGACAACATATGAAAATAATCTGTAAGTAAAGAGATGTAAATATAGAAATATATTCCAATTTTTTGTTTGTTTGTTTGTTTCATTTTACGCCTTTTTCCAACAGTATTTCAGTCATATAGGCGGGTAGTTTCCTAACCATCGTTCCTGGAGAGTTACACCAGTACTAGACTACCTTCCTCCGCGCTAAACTACCAAAGCATCTCCCGGGGATCAAACCCACGCCAGAGAGGTAACTGGATTAGAAGTCATCGACTCTAACCCCTCGACCACGGGTCTTTCCAATTTTTTAAAGTATGTGTAAGGATGCATGTACATGCAGTTAATAGTGATTTCCTTCAGCACTTTGTGCTCATACATTATTGTACATTTTTAATGTGTTTTTTTTGTTCACTTTGACATTCAAGATCAAAGTCATTTACAGGTTAAAATTATAACTTTATATCATAAATCAAAATAAAGGTATTGTCCAGTGGAATGTTGTGTCCAGGTATGAAGACTCTTGCTAATGAAATAAAGATGTTGTGATCAAAGATAAGAGTTAATTTGCAAATAGAAAAACAGCTAAAACTGACAGAGAAAAAAAACTAACAATTATGCCTCTAACCTAATAATCAATGCAAGGGGCGTAAACAATCTTGCATAAAATGCATATAAACAATAAATATTGCACAAATTTGCTAAAGTTCTAGCATCACACCAAAGGTATTACCTTAAATACCTCAATAATAAATATATATTACAACAAGCATTTGATAGTATTGCGGGCAATACAGTAGTCCCCTACCGGTCCCTTAAAAGTTCTTTAATTGTCATACACTCCTGTGTATTGCCATTTATAATGAATTTGAGGATGAAGTCTGTATTTGAAAATATCGATCACAAAACATAATAAAATAAGTTTGTCTATATCACAGTAATGTGTTAAGTTTCCATGCTTAGTAAGGAAATTATGTTCATACAACCTTGTCATATTATTACGATGTGGGATTTTAAAGTAAATCCTATAAGGAATGAAGAAGTTGGAGTTAAATTACCAGTTTCTCGAAAAAAATCTAAGTTCAAGGGGGACATAATTCTGGAAATAGTCTTGCTAGAGTATTTAACCTTCTCAAAAATGTCGAGTGATAATAAGAAACATATATATGAAGTTTGAAGTAGATACATTAGGAAATAAAGAAGATATTTAAAAAAGACAACATTTTTTCCCCTAAAAAAATCTAAGTTCAAGGGAGGTAATATTGATATTTTTTGTGCTAGAGTTATAAACCTTGTCACATATGATGTGGTTGATGACCAGGAACTTATATTTAAAGTTTGAAGTAAACACCTTAAGAAATAAAGAACATATAGTGAAAAAGCTGAAAAATTTAAATCAGAAATCTTGAAATTCAGGCTATTTGTTGCCATAGCAACCAGAATTTTCAACATAGGAAGAAAAGAAAAAGATGTGCATAATCTCCAGACTGCCATCTACCCATATTTCAAGTTTCATAAAAATATTTTCAGTACTTTTTGAGTTATCACTGGATCCAGTTTATGTGTTAAATTTGCCATATTTTCAGACTATTTGTTGCCATAGCAACCAGAATTTTCAACATAGGAAGAAAAAAAAAGACGTGCATAATCTCCATACTGCCATCTATCCATATATCAAGTTTCATAAAAATATTTTCAGTACTTTTTGCGTTATCGCGGGATCCAGTTTTGTGGACGGACGGACTGACGGACTGACAGACAGACAGACGGACAGACAGACAGACGGACAGACGGACGGAGGGTAAACCTAAAGTCCCCTCCGGTTAAACCGGTAGGGGACTAATAAACATGCCGATTTATTGAAATATACTGCCTTGAACCAGTGAGATATTATGTATACCACTCACAGTGAAATTATCATGTTTTTCATGCTATTGCCAAACACATTTAAATGTTGTTTTTTTTTGTGGAAATGAAATATATCCTTTATAATTGAATTTTGTATTTCACAAATATCACCCTTTTTGTGCATTTGAATATATTTTTTTTTCAAATTTCTAAATTCCCGCTTTATACTTCCACCTTCTTTTTTAAACTACATTTACACTCTACATGTATTTTTGGGATCTAGTAATATGCCTGATTATTTTATAAAAGCAAATCTAATGACTTAAAGCTCAGTACATCCGTGTTTATAATCTATCACCTATTTTTTTTCTCATAATATTAGTCAATAAAGTAATAAGATATCCATTAAAGCATTATTTATTGTTAAGGCCTAAAATTTTTTAAAATAAAATCTGTCCTTTATCAACATCAATGTAAACATATCCTATTTATAGCACAATCAACCTCTTAAAGTGAGGCGAGGACAATTATGCCATACTGTTTAATGCAGATTCTCGATGTCTCCGAGTATCCCTCAAATTCCCTTTAATATCAAGCCCAAACCACACATCCGGGCAGGTTCCTCACATGAAAACAATCTCCTAATATCCTTATACCAGGCACCAAAACTTAACTTAATCCACAATAAATACAATTTTTTACAACAGCTCTGGCAATTTCAAGGCAGGTAAAGTGGAATCTACACAATTTATCCAGAAGTTTGCACATGCCGCGTGATACTGTCTCCTGCCATACGTCAGTTTCGCGTTATCATTATCATTGTCTACGCCTTTCACTTTCATCTCGACGTCCAGTAAACACACGCCACATGATCTATACTGTGACGTCTGATCATCGTCCAATAAATATCCATGACTAAAATCAAGGCTCTGAGAGTCAGGCTGGAATAATAATAAAGAAACAATTTTAGTTGTTTTTATTTTGGTTTTGCTGTTTCAGCTTCAGCAGGTAAAAATGCTGTATAATAGTAGACACGAAGTACTGGATTCCCGATCTCCAGGTCATGGGTTTAATCGACCAGAGACAAGATTTGCTTTTAACTTCAATATAAACTGGTGCAATAACTTGTTAGGGCACCCTGGAAGCAGTCATCCGGCCTTTATTAAAGCGCTTTGACATTTGTAGTCCCCAGAACAGGGAATTGGCACCAGACAAAGACAAATATACATTCAACAGGTAGACAGTATTTCTGTCACAAACAGACAGACAGAAAAACATTCTGGGACTTCCTAGACTCTATTCCAGTACTATTCTGTTTTTTTTTCTTGTAATACAACTGTTTAACTTCTTCACATAAGTCAATTGTATCAGTGTTGACCTTAATACCAATGAGGTTGTCATAAACCAAACTGTCATAGAAAAAATATTTGCTAAGCCCAAAACCTGCACTCTTGAATGAATTGTCCGTAGACTTAGCAAAGTAAAGCACAAGTGGACAAATGAGTAGAACAATCTAGCAGTACTTCCTTATGTGACATAAAAAGCTCCCTCATACTTAAGGAACCCAAAGTACCTTTCCAGATTCAAACCAACAGTACTGATGGGCAAGTTAAATTATTTTGAAAATACAATATACATTGTAAATAATAATATGCATTGTTAAGGAAAAATATATAAGAAACATTGATATGCTTGATTTTCATTCATTAAAACTTACCATAACAGATCCCCCAACAAGAAAGGCAGTAAGATTATTCCAGGCAAGGTCTATTTCTTTCAACAACTGTGTTAGTTTATCACTATGGATACCTAAAACATATACATTTAAAATTTAGATAACATTATAAGGAAGTCTTACTATAATGGTAAATAATTTTCAATGTGAAAAAAAAAAAACAGATTACATTAATAGACACTATAATGGTAAGAGATGGCTTTTAAAGCTTTACTTATAAAAGAAGACCTGGTCATGTACAACAGAAAACATGAGTAGATCCAACAGCCTTCCTTAAGTTAGCTGGATAAGAATTCATTTGAAATTTGTACCAGGACTTTCTACTTTTTTCCCACACATTTTTTTAATTAACAGTTCAAAATTAAAATTTCTGTATTTTCCTAAACTAAGAAGTACATGACTACATTTTCTACATGTCAAGCTTGGTGGATGTTAAATCCGAACTATCATAAGATAAAGTTACCTGTTTTCTTCATGGTGACCATGATTTTACACACAACTCTGTAAATCTCTATCACACCTGCAAATACAAGATGAAATTATACTTTATATTATCGTTATTTTCCCACACAACTAAAAAATATACAGAGATGTAAAAGACTTCCATGTGTTTGACATATCTTCTGTACTTGACATGTCTTGAATAAAAAGACATAGTTTTAAGCTTTTACCATTTAACAATTAACTATCATTGCTTAATTCTGGTTGGTTCCAGGAACGGATTGGTTGGTTCCAGGAACAGAATCGAGAGTGTTTCAATAAGCTTATAGCTTCCGACCAATCAAACTAAAATAAATTTATATACTCTTAACTATCAACCCTTATTTTGCTGGAACTGAGAGTTATCAGCCTTTGCCACCAGTATAGAGCCTGGCTAGCTGCATATTCATGCAGTCTGTTCTGGCATGAAACTGTTTGCTGACTAATTTCAAAATAACACCATTATACAATGTATCTGTATTTTTGAAAATTCCAAGAATTACCTGTGTGACAGGTTCAATTAAGAAATTTAGCAGATTAAAGGTGAACAATAATGTTAGTAAACCTGTGTCACAAGGACAGAGCAGGAACAGAATACAATTACAATAACATAATAGATACAGCATCCTATACTTGGCTATTTTAGCTTACATGAAGACAATTTGTACATGGCAGTAAATATGTTAACTCACAAAATATGGGGGCTCAGTGAACTTAGTGAAAAAATTCTCACAATCTTGTAATAAATACAAAATAAGTAAATAATTCTATAATAAATTGTCACTTGACCTACCTTGGATATATTGGGATCCTTGTGATGATTTAATTACTTCATTACATACACTGGAACTACTTATAGAATTGAAGATATTGTTGCCATCTTGTATCATACGACAACAGTTGTCAAGGCAACGCTGCCATTCATATGCATGTTTGTCACTCCCCTACAAACATATTAATAACAATATATAAATGTATCTAATGTAAAGGTCATATGATGACTGACAAACGGTACTGGTCCCAGCTGACTTTCTTCAAATGTGTTGTTTAAGAAATAATATATCCCAAACAGTGATTTCATCTGATATATTGGCATAACCCTTGTGATACAATGTTGCGCACCCAAACAACAAACAGTGATTTCATCTGATATATTGGCATAACCCTTGTGATACAATGTTGCGCACCCAAACGACAAACAGTGATTTCATCTGATATATTGGCATAACCCTTGTGATACAATGTTGCGCACCCAAACGACAAACAGTGATTTCATCTGATATATTGGCATAACCCTTGTGATACAATGTTGCGCACCCAAACGACAAACAGTGATTTTATCCGATATATTGGCATAACCCTTGTGATATAATGTTGCGCACCCAAACAACAAACAGTGATTTTATCCGATATATTGGCATAACCCTTCTAAAAAAAATCTAACAGATATGGAAGCTTCTATTTCATTACATTACATTTTAACATGACGAAAATAAATTTTCTGAACACTGAATTTGAACACTTACTGGAACATCATGCATTATTGCACTATAACGATCTCCAATAATTGGTAAACCTGAGCTAGGCACTCCTACATCAAACACTGGCTTCACAAAATCTAAAATATAACATAAAGTTTAAACTTATCTTAATAAAGGTTAATTGTTGAAACAACTATGAGTGCATAAAATAAATCTTAAGCCAGCTGCCTGGCCTATCCATCTGATATGTGTAAATATGATCATAGCCATAAAAAGGCTCCAACCCATTATCTTTGGGTCGAGTGGCACACTTTTTCCACTGGTAAGGTTTACTTTTTACCTTTTGAAAATATCTTTTACATATAAAACCTGGTAATGTTTATTCTTATCTTATATAAAACCTGAATTAAGAGTACAACACAATTTTTTGATACAGTATAATCTACAAATTTATTTAAGATTGTGTAGAAAAGAAATAGGCAATTTCATTCTATAGTCATGCTAAACAAAATCAAATAGCATTCTTTTAATACATGCCTTACAAATTTGTTCAAAATCTATCTTCTACAAAATTTCATTGGCTTAATTTCAACATTGGTTACCCTTTTTCATTCCTATTTTATGATTTAGTTACATTAGAGATATGATTATTCCTTAGGTATCATACTGTGTCTTTATCATAATATTTTATCATACAACATAAACTGTATTAAAAATATACAAACCTTGATGATCAGTGGATGGACTATCTTCTTTTGATTCCTTATCTGAACTTTCCTGACTGCTACCATTCTCCACAGTATCCTCACGTCTCAAGTCCAGACTGTCCAAAGACTTCGACTCTGGCAGAATCTCCTGATTCACCCCAGCTTCAAAGTTTCCAAAGTCATTACTCGACACTGACTGTGTATCTCCCCCTTCGGCTGCATCTCTGACATTCTGTAAACTTCTATTGACCACAAGTTCTAAACTTGCTATGGATTGTGAATCTTCACCCATTCCTTTACCAAACTTCCCTCTGAAAATATCATTGTCCTTAGAGGATACACTATCACTGTCATTGTCAACATCTGAATCTTTAGTTACTTCTATTGATATATTCTTAGGTTCACCAGCGTTTTTCTTATGTCCTTCAACAACGAATGTTTCATTAACACCATACACTCCATAGGCATTCTTTTTCTCAGGTACTTTGGGTTTCATGATGTCATCAAAATCATATCCTCTTGAGTAACTTCCAAAATCATCATGATCATCATCACCAAAGTCATCTAATGGAGGTGGTTTCATGAAGTCATCTTCTTCACTAAAATGTTTTTGTTTCATCTTCTCAGTTGGTGAAAAGCTCTCTTTCTTGGGAGGAGTATCACTTATTCCATGCATTTTATTCATGCTACTAGACACAGATACATCAGGTCTAACTGGAAAACTCGTATCATCATCTCTACTTTTTAAACTTATAGGTTCTGATTTCACTTTGAATAAGCCTAAAATTTCATTTGCTTCAAGCCTATCTTTTTTAACATTTACTAAACCCGAACTTTTATCATCAGATTTTGGAATGACATCATTTGCAGAGCTTTGAAAGCCTGAAAATCCATCTGTACCTTCCTGAAAGCCTGCCCAATCTTCTGAATCACTTTTATCCACTGCACCAAAGTTTAGATCTGAAGCAATAGGAGCTCCAGGAACACTTACATTGCTTTTATTTGTACTAACATCACTGAAAAGATCAGATGGTTCATTGGTTGATGAAGACCAACCTGATCCAGCATTTTTCTCATCATTAGCTGTATCAAAAGCCGCCCAATCTGAGTCATCTTTGCTATCAAGTGCTGAATGAAACACCTCTTCAGATTTTAAAGCATTGTTCTGACTATTCACTAGACTGCTATTACCTTCTGGTTGAGGCTGGTCAGTGTCCCCAGACGCTGTTTGGAAATCAGCCCAATTGTCATCAGAATCAGTTACAGGCTTGGTATCTGCTTCAGGTTCTGGTTCACCCATTAGGTCAGGCTCATTTTCTGGAGGGGAGGAGAAATCCAAGGTTCTAAGTGCTGCATATTTGTCTTCATCTCCTATCAGATCTATAGCAGATGGTGTAGCTTTCAATGGATCAGGCTGGTTCTCTGTTGAAACTACAGGTGCAGACTGGAAATCAGCAAAATCTGAGAACTCATCAGATGAAACTGGTTTCTGATTGGCTGAAAGTTTAACTTGGACTGGTATAGGAAGTTTCTTTACTGGTGTAGTTGGATTCTTAAAAAAATTACTTGGAGATGGTGGTGTATTGTCTTTATTGAGAAATTTAGAGATTGGCCGATGGAGAGGGCTCTCTTTATCTTGCATGTCTTTCTTCCGTTGAAATTCGTCAAGATAATTCTCAAAATTTTTAAAATCTTCCCCTTCTGATTGGTCTGTGCTAAACTGACTAGAACTTTCTGAAGGTTTGCTGTCTGCAGACTTGTACCCATCAAAATACTCATCATCTGGACTGGCTGGAAAAAAAACAAAACAGTCTGGTAAGAAAATAATAGACTGGTTTGATAAAACAATAAATTGACAAGTCTTACGTAATGATATTGTGATTGCTTCAATGAAAAAGTATTAAAGAACTGGAATAAACTGAATCATCAGTTTAATGAGATTTTTTAAAATCCTTATCATGCCAGGACTTTAATCATAAAATTACATGGAAATTCCCTCAGAATTATAGAAACTAAAATTATTTTCATTTCATGTATATATTTTTACATAATTATGTAACCTATACTTTTATGGAAGAAAATTAACAAGTTAAGAAATAATGATATTTTTTTTCAACTTCAAACCATAAATATGACAAAAATACCTTAAAATCAGAAAATCAAATAAATCTTATTTTTATTCCAAAAACCAGTACAACAGTCTTGGTGGCAAATAGATGATACAGTGATTGGGACAGGCATACAGGTTTGAGTTTTAAGTCAAACAGAGGTTGGGTAGTAAACACGTCAGACTAGAAACCTAAAGATTGCAGGATCTTTTGCAGGTTTAAACCCTGTAAGGGGCTAGCCATTGTTTCCTTACACTCATCGCTTAGAACTAGTTGGTTAAAGGAAGGATTCAACAGTGTATTTATTAGCTTACGGCTTCCTAGACAATCAAACTAAAATGAATTCTGTATAAACTACACCAATTTTAATACTAAATGGTGAATGAAAAGCACAGATGCGTAGACATTTATAATTTCACTTCATTAAGTATACTTCAGGTGGCTAAATGTACGATGTTCAAGCCTCAAGTGGGCACCTGAACAGAACCACCAAGCTTAGAACTATTTGAAATATGGTACACTCACATGAAAAAGTTTAATGCATATAACACAATTTAAGGCCATAGATTTTAAGGACAAATAAATTGCAGTCAGCTAACATAACCACTGTGTATGGCTTGAAAACAAAGCCAAACATAACAAAATTTTAATAGTGTTCTTTCTCCAACCCTAGGTAGGTTTTTATAACTTATTTATTAGTACATATATATGTATACATGTATACTTTCATGTTATTGTCCAATATACACAAGATTTTGACTAAAAGAAAACTGTATTAAATCAGAGCATTTCATCTCAGTGATAATAGTCTTGTACATGTATTACAAATACTGACAGAATTAAAAGAATAAGTAAAAGATGATTAATAACTGTTAATACAATCTTTAATATATAAATAAATACCGGTATATATAAATTAAAAAGATGTGCCAATTTGACCTTTAATCATCTTTTGAATTATGACCTTGGGGTTCAGTATAAGAATATAAACCCTGTATTCAATATGCATAGTAAAATGAAGACAAAAATATAAAATATATTTATGTACCAGTAAATATTACAAGTAAATCAAACTATCAATTGAATTGTCCTGTTAGTGCAATACCTGGTTAATTCCTATTAAATTTAGGAAAACTTAACCTGTTACTGCACTCAGGTGAAAAAATATACCTAATTTTGTAGGAATTAGGTTTAAGGCATATCAATGCTGTTATGATAAACATAGCATATAAACGTAGCATAGTTCCAAGGTAAAAATATCAGAAAACCTAAAAAACATGAATTTAGTATTACATGTACTTCAATTAGTTTTATATAGAAAAAAAGCTTTAAACATGAACCTCAGGCAGATGCCTGAAAACTTGTACCCACGTATATATCAATTTTTTTTTCTGATGGGTGATCACACCTTACCTAAGATACTCATCTGCAAAATAATTCAGGCATAGAAGTGTGCACCTGTGTAGCACTATAGGCTTTCATCAAGCTTATTTTGGGACAACTTCCTCACATGAGTAAGTTCAATCTTTCAGGATGAAGGAAACGGGTTCAAACCCACAACAATTAGTTCTAAGTCAGCCACTTAAACCCCATGCATAGTATATTAAGTCCCTAGGTATGAAACCAATGAATTAATGGCTGCATGAAATAGGATATAATATACATGAATATAACGTACTTTCATAAAAAGTATATTATGATAAAATTTATATGGCAAGTTCTATAAAGTTATAATACATACATGTAGAAATATAAGCAAGCTTCACACAAGCACACCCACCATTTTATTTAATTTATCTAAACCGTTTAAAATCCCCATGCTTACCACACCTGGTAAAGTGCAATGATCATTTATATTGATGAAATCTATCAATTTAGATGCTGTGGTGACATTAAATGGCACCATCCCATGCCTAGTTCTGTTCTTGAATGCTATAGATACATTTCAAGAAATTTGTAAATTTTGATGAAATTGAATTTTACACTGGTTATAGCACATTTTTGGTCAACTCTTTCAGTCAGTACACCCAACTGACATTCCTGGATAGCTAACCAGTAATTACCAATTTTTTTCTATATCTCACATTTCTTCAGAATCAATGCGCTGACTGACAAATAACATTAGACTTAATGTCTGAGAACAATTGTCATGCAGAAATTTTGTCTCAGTTAATCTATTGAGCTAAGTGTACAGACACCTTTTCTTATTGGTAATGTGTCACATAAATACTCATAAATTCATATGACAACTTTCCAGTAATGTCCTGTGCCTCATTTCACACTCAGCTACACACTTGGATAAAACCACAAACTTTCAGCAAACTAGCTGAATTGGTAATAGCTTCACACCTCTCATAAATGACATGAATGTTCTGGGTGGGATTCAAACAAACAAAGGTGAAGGTTAAGTGATGCAAAGTCAGCCAATTAGGCAACTTAGAAATTGATCTTAAGAACTTCATGACCATAGATCACACAATTCAAATCTCAAGCTTGAAGAATAGTAAAGTTTCATAGCACATAATATTGATAAAAATTCCAGCTTCAAGCATGTTTACAAAGTATTTAAATAAAAAAATATACATATTTCACATCTATTTAAGGATAATATTTTTCTTTCTATTCAAAGTAATCAGACCAAACACACACAATGCCGATAACCATCTTCTTACCAAGCTACTAAAACATTTATAAATTTGACAGAAAATGTGCAAAATTACAAACAATAAACCTTCTGCATTGATCAACACTGCAAGAAGCTTGTTTATCAAACTCAGGTTCAATGGTCAATCTGTAACCAGTGTTTCATCTGAAACACTGCCATTTGTCAATTTTTAAATTTAATTAATTTGAATCAACCAATCAGGAGCAAGATGTTTGTATATAAGCATGTGATATTATGTTATTTTGTTAAACTTATATAATGTTTGCTTAACAGATAAATTCATTCAGTTACCTTTACTTGATTTGCAAAGGAACAATGACTTCACTCTTAAAGGAACAATGACTTTATCCTCAAAGGAACAGTGATGTTATTCTCAAAGGAACAATGACTTCATTCTTAAAGGAACACTGATTTTAAAGTTAATTCTCAAAAGAATAATGGCCTTTTTCTCAAAGGAACAAAGAATTTATTCTCAAAGGAAAAATGACTTTATTCTCAAAGAAACAGTGACTTTATACTCAAAAGAACTATGTGTTTATTCTCAAAGGGACACTGACTTAAATCTCAAAGGAACAATGACTTGATTCTCAAAGGAACAATGACTTGATTATCAAAGGAACAATGATTTTATTCTTAAAGGAACAATGATTTCATTCTTAAAGGAACAATGATTTCATTCTTAAAGGAACAATGATTATTCTCTTATAACCAGAATGTCTTCAAGGCTCAAAATCACTGAACATTTCTTCTCTGATGTCATATAAAATAGCCAGTAAAACCCACATTTTAATTTTTCATGTTTTACAACAGTGTTTGAAATATATAAAAATCAGGGTGATGTTACTGAGCAAAGATAATATTACCAGAACAAGCCTGTTTCTATACAATAAACCGCCAACTGCTCCACATAAAGCACACAGATAAGCAGAATTTTGAAACATTTACTTTGGAAACACACTAAAAAACTATTTAAAGAAGAATGGTAAAACATGCAAAGGAAAAAAAAAAGGGAGAAAACGTGAGGATAGAAATGTGACAAGACATCTGTTTACATACACGTATGAAGTTAATATGACTGAAGCATTCATGTATTTCTATAAAAAAAAGATGTACCTTTTGTATGCCTGCTTAATTTTCTAGATGCCGAAACTGAAGTGTAACAATGTAAATAATAACACTCAACCTGCTGAATTTCTGAAATGGACTTGTCCATCTTCTGTTTTTGGAACTGTCCAATATAAGTTTAAGGGATGTTAAAATGAAAATACAAATTTAAGTCAGCAAATTGTAAAGTGCCTGGTCATGATGCACTACAGTGCAGGCCGGCATGACTCAATACTGGTCATGGTCCATGACTCATGGAACAGCCCATTATAAGTTTAAGGGATGTTAAAATGAAAATAAAAATTAAAGTCAGCAAAAATTGTATAGTGTCTGGCCATGGACCACAGTAAAGCAGGTCAGTCTGACTCACTCCTGGTGAGGGAACTGTCCATTATAAGTTTAAGGGATGTTAAAATGAAAATACAAATTTAAGTCAGCAAATTGTAAAGTGCCTGGTCATAGTGCACTACAGTAGTACAGGCTGGCCTGGCTCGATCCTGGGGTCAAAGGACTTTAAGTCTTAGGTCAATCACTTTGGTTTCCAGCAGGTTAAGAGTTTTAATACAACACAAGACAAAACATGCTCATTGCTTTTTTAAGTGGTTCATCAAAATAAATTGAGGGTGTATTAGAAATATGAGTAAGTAAATTAAAAACAAATTCTAGTATAAAAGGGAAAGCAAGGGTGGATTAGAATCTAAAATCTTATCATTTTTTTATGAAAAAATAAATAAATGAAAAAAATATATGACAGTTAATAGAATCTTACTTTAAATAAAAGAAATCAGTTTTGTTAACTTTCGTGATAAACAAAATGTTCTTAAAATTTCATGTGTAAGTTATACAAAAAGAAAACCAAACTAAATTTTTTTTGAGAAGAGCAATTAGTTTAACTGAACATAACAACAAAACAAAGTCAACAAATATACTATACAAAATAAACATACAACAATAAATAAAACCCACAATAACAGGTTGTCATATGAAATTATTATACTGTAAAGATCAGTTACACAAATAATGACAATAATTTTCATTATAACTGATTTATAACAAGATCTGTCTGTGGACAGCAAGGTCAACCTTTCTCAGTGTTTGATAGTATGGTAAAAGAAAAGAAGAAAACAGGCCAAGAGTTTTGTCAAAAAAGCTTGGCAGAGTTATCTGCCCTTAATAGAAAACTTTGTAGTTAATATCTTCTATGTAAAAAGAAAACCCAACAATTCCACCCCCCCCCCCCAAAAAAAAAAATATCTCTTGCAAGGTATCTACTCTTTAGAAATGCATTCCAATTTTGATAAATGAATAAGAATTTAAAGTGTATATCTGTTAGGAGTTTTCAGAAATGAACCTCAAGATGTTTTAAGTCAAAAAAGGAGAACAAAATTGATTCACAAGATTACCTTTTGATATTCATTTCAATTTTGAAAGCAAATAATTATTTTATGTTTGGGGTAAGTATCTTAATCAAGATAATTTTTGAGAAATAGACCTAAAAAAATGAGTTAACTGAATTTCTATATGAAAAAGGGGACATAACTTTGCAAATAAATATTTTAGGATTATCTAACCTTGTGATATGGGGTTATATTTTGTGTATTGAAGTATACAAAAATTTGAAGTGAATAGTTTTGATAGAAACCAGTTTCTGAGAAAGATGACCTGTACGAAAAGGTTAACCGATGACAATACCTACGTCAACAAGAGGGTCATGACTAAAATAATGCACAATAATTACACTTACTTTCTGAGGAATCACTCCCGAAGAAATTCTCTACTGTGGAATGCTTAAGATCTTGTGGTGTCAGGGATTCTGCATTACTTGTTGACAATGTTGGAGTATTTTCCGAGTACAGAAACCTTAAGAATATGATAATAATGATTAAAGTAATCATGTAAAATATTTAAAAAAAAGTCAAATATGAGATTAAGATTCTATTTATAGGTTTATTGTAAACTGTCATTGTAAACGACATATAACCAAAGGTGATTCTTTTTTACTGATTTTTTTTTTATATTTTGGAAATGTGATTGATAGAATATTATATTCATGTAGGTTCATTACTAAATTTATTGAACTTGTTCAGTAAAGTAATATTATGCTCACCAGAGGCTCGCTTAATAAAATTTTATTCAACTTTTTCAATGAAGTCAGTATTGAACCTACACTCATTCAATATCCTCTATATCTCTGAAGTGAAACATGAATATAATGTATATCATATAACCAAAAAATATCATCAATTGGTTTATAAGCTTCATATTGCTTTAAAAATGTATAAGCATATCTTACTTTGAAGGATCTTTGACTGGTGGTTGAATGTTTTCTTTTGTATCTTTTACAAGATTTCCTAAGGAACCTGTCAGAAACATAAGAAAGGAATTCTTTCATTAATGGCAATGCAGTATATATAAATATGGCTTTTACTGTGTTGGAGCAAAGCCTCCAGATACTTGACAGAAATCATTATCACATAGCAGAAAAATATCGCTTTTCAGTGTTTGAAAATCATTTTTTTTTTCATTCAAAGTGTGTAATACAAAGAAAATCATATAAAGGTTAAATCACACTTAACAGATGTGATAGTGTATTAGTTTTCTTACTAGTAAAATCTGGACAAATTTATCTATTATATTTATCTATTTATACCTGTATTTTGTGCAGGAGCTGTTGCACTTTGAAAATCTGCAAAGTCATCTTCCTCAGCTGCCATATTTACCACATTACCCACAATTCCTGGTGATATTCCTTAATAGTAAATTATAAAACATAAAATACTCAAGAAACAATATATACAATCTATGAAATTTTTGCCATTGAATATCTTTGAATTCATATAATGATAATATCAGAATATCATATATTATAAGTGGATAGAATATCTTTATAGTAAATTTATACATTGTATATAATTCAAATGTCTAATGTTTCACTTTGGTTAACAGATACTGTTCCTGAACAAATATCTCTTTCTGCAATCTTGCTATATTTCTATTGTTGCTGCAAGACATGACTCTGTACATAAGTTACTTGAATTATTATTTGATGGATTATTACTTGAAAATAAAAGCAGGAAAATGATTCACCTTATCAAATGATCTTATCTTTAAAAGGAATCTTAACTTCATGTTTAAATAATCCACACAATTGTAAATATATTTTACCTGCAGAGGGAAGCTGTGTTACTGGCAAAGTTGCTGGTGATGATGTCATTGCTGATGTCATACTTGTTGCCTGGATACCAGTCACATGACTAGGAAACGAACCAGAATGAGGCTGGTTAAAACTGGCAGCCATATTGTCTATTGGAGTTTGCATCTGTTGACCTGTGATATAACTTTGACCTGGAGCCATTGGAAGCTGAGGTTGGCCCATTGTTTGGACTGGGATTTGAGCCACTGACTGAGGTGGTCCCTGACCGATCTTGAAATGGGAACCGGCTACTGGGAATGCCAGAGGAGGCACTCTGAAGGGGATATTTTCGACCTTGGCAACTGAGATTTAGATTGGAACTGAGGCTATCTGAGAACTTGCCTTCGAGGGTTGGGCAGGTGTACCTGCTGTGGGTCTAACGAATGGAACAGGTGGCCTGAGTGGACATCCCGAAGAATGTCCAAGGAGTGTTACCCCTTAAAAACTTATTCTGTAAAACAAAAGACCAAAATTTACAATATTAATGTACAACGAACTAAATGTGAAGGATATATGAACATTTAGAATCCTTTAATAAATCAACATGCTCTATTTTAGTTTTAACTTGATAGAAAAGCATGGCTTTAAGTATTATAACTGAAACTTACATAATCAAATCAGGAAAATCAACTTGCTTCTTGAGCATTAAAATAGCCATGACTTAAATGAAAAGATTTAAAAAATTAACAACTTAAACAAAAGAAAAAAATCTGGAAAAGAGATGAAATCTTAAATGCAATGAAAACAACAATATAATAAGAAAATCACAGACTTGGTTTGATTGAGTCTGTTCATGAGAGAATGAGGTAATGATATAATTGATAAATGCAACATCTCTCACAAGTTAGAACAAATAAAGAGTCTGATCATGTGAAATTTTTTGTGGGTTTTTAGTTGCAACCCTAACATACCTGTGTTAGAGCTATGACAGCTAATAACTGGTACAACTCCTTCACTATAAGTTGACCTGGTGTTGTTTTATTACATAATGTCCACAGCTGTCCTAACATCTCTTTTGGCAGGCCACTAAGCACAACGATAGGGTATAACCTTTCTGTAGAAATCTGACCATCTCTGTAAGTTGAAAAGGCTAAATGGCTATAACTTATATAAGAATTTTGTGTCTAATGGCAAAACTATAAACTTTAAATACTAGAAACAAAACATGGACAGCATGCTTCACTATTATCAGTGCTATTTTTAGAATTTTGCAGGGTAATGCTTCATACAATTAGAATCTCTGCCGATAGCACTCCAAAGAGAGGTTGGCAGTACTCAAACATAGATAGTATCATTTAGGAGATTTTTAAGTTAAAGGGGAATAATTCAGTAAAGACTAATACTTAGCACCATTGTCAGATATAGGCAACATAGATATGTGTTATCTAATCAGTCCCTATCCTGACAAAGGAAAATGCTGTGCAAAACTCGACAGGAAAATTTCCAATATTGGTTTAGTTTTTTTATGACATTTTGGCTGACCAGTTATTCTACAGGACTTATTCATACAAAACAAGGACAATCTAAGATGAATTTCATTTTTATAAACAATAACATGCTGTCAGACAAATATCGAAGACAGGTAAAGAAACATTTACATCCAAAACTAAATGTCACACACGTTTTCCAGTAGTTTTGCAAGGCCTGTATTACTACATGTATACATTTTTAAAAACAGCTTTTGAGGCTTGAAGAAAAATATGATTTGTTTCTAATGTAATACAAAATTACCCCTGACTTATCGATGTCGAGCTACAAAATAATAGGAATCTACTTACACTATACAAGCCTCGAGGACTTGTTTATATAGAGGAGGTATCAATGTGTCGTCACTGAGCCATGGCGGAGGCTTCGGAGGATGTTTACTTGTCGGGCTCACATGTTTCACTGGTTTCTTTGGAATTTCGGTTTCGTCCTTCACAGCTTTTGTAAGAAAGAGAAGTTAAACATTACCATTCTTGTCTATTTTTCAATTTAATTTTTTAAATTAGTGATCTTTTCAATAATTAACAAATGCAGATTCATTTGCTTAAACAAGAGCACAACATGCAGTGTAGACGCTCAGCTGTTAAAAATTCCAAGTTTAAAAGAGGCATAACTCCAATAACAATGTTTTCAGAATTATGCCCTTTGTTTAACAACTGCATCTTGTCATGACAAGCAAGTATTCCAAGTTTTATTTTGATAAGTCGTTAAACGTTTGAATAATGGGCTAGGTTAAAGTTGTTGCATGACAATGACACTACAGCTATCATACAAGCTCAACCTTTTCTTCGAAATAGACTAGCTAAAGTCTTTGCATAGACTGTGCATGATAAAAAGTTTGTGGCTATGCACATTTATTTGCTTGAAAAATATGCAAAAAATGAGCATATACAAGTTTGTGTCAATTATTTCAATTCAGTTAAGAATAAGATTTCTTTGTATTATACATAAGTAGGACATTGAGCAGTATGGATTACAAACAATTCTTTTTTATGTAACATCTGTATGAATATGAAAGAAAAGTACTTCAATTTTTTTGTCTTTTTATCAAAAAGATTAAGCATTATATAGCTTCTTAAAATTTTTGTTTGCACTTTACCAGTCCTTGGTCTATGATCTATCTAGGAACTATCTTCTCAAAAACTGTGCCACTTTTTTTTCATATTATCAATACAAATTACTTACAAAATCTGCACATTTACACATAAATCTTTAAAATAATCAAGGTATCTCAGAGTTATAGGACATCTATCAGACATGTTAAATGTGAAGTTTTAACCCATTTCCTTCAGTAGTTTTGGAGATACAAACTTGCATGCAAATTCTTAACTAAAGTGTTCAAATAGTTAAGTTAAAGATTATCAATCACAAACAAATAAGTTGTGAAGTTAAAAGTTACTGGGAAGAAAAAACATGTTAGTTTCATTTCTTATTGGTTTATATAGATAACACAGACATATTTAACAGTGACTTTCAAGATTTACTGTTGGAGGAACTATTTATGTTTCTCGGAACTATTTATGTTTCTCAACTCTTTCTATATTCTAAGAACAGGTTAGTTCTGGTGCAGAAAACATGGAAGAACTCATGGGTAGGCAACTGCTAAAAGGTATGTCTAAAATACAAACTTGTGCAAAACCCTACAAAAAAAAGAGCAAAAAATAAAGTTTTATATTCTATCTTATTATAACACCTGAGAAATTTGTAACATGACATCATTTTAACCCCTCCCAAACTATCATAAAAACAAAAGTTAAGCTTAAAAAATTGTTTGGAGAATCACATTAAAAACTGTATTCCAGTCTATACCGGTCAAGGCACTTGAATGATTACTAAAATCTCTGCTTTTCACTAGCCGAAATGCACTAAATTAACATTTTCACACCGATTTATATATGAAAATAAATGAAAAATTTAAAATGATGGCGAAAAAAATGATATTTTTCTATTTTAAGATCCTGATTTCTGCAAGCATCTAGAGGTACTGCTCCAACACTGTAGCAAGTTTAAACCTAAAATTAGACCTATGTTAACAGTATAGTCAAACCAGGTTGCTCTCTACTGCTAGGAGATATATTTTAGTACTTTGATACTGAAATATCTTGGCTTCAATAATAAATCATTCAACAATAAAAGCAGAAAAAGAACATCAGTGTTAGGGTTGAAGCAATTAACAATAAAAGTTAAGATCTGATCAATATATAGATGATTTAGGATGTGATTTAAAAGCCACAGATAAGCTGAATATTCTAACATGAATAAACAATTAAAAACATAAAAAAGCAATTTCTTTCAATATTCAAAGCGACTCCACTGAGGATTTTTGACATGGCAGACTGGAATTTTTCTTTTGAGATTAACGTCTCTGTTGATGAAAGTCTAGGCCAATAACTTGTGTGCAAAATTTCAGACAATTTGCTCTTTTTCTGTTTTATTTCAGAATAATTATTCTGATTGTAAAAACATGACCTAAAATTGATGCTTTCACTCAAAATTGGGTAAGAATAGCACAAAAATATGGCTTTCAATTTATATTTCTGAGTATTTTTCAAAATTGCTTATGCATAGCTTTCTGTTTGATCTATGTAAAAAATTCCTATTTTATGTTTATAGGCTATCGGACCTCATTGGAGTTTCCTTTAACATATCAAACAGCAATATGAAAGTTTATTACACCACTTTTAAATCTTAATCTAATGTATACATGTTTGAAATAAAAAACAGAAACAAATTCAGGTTCATATGTTAATGACTGGTAAAATATTTCCTCACCTTCTTGAATGAAGAGATCAGAAAGCTCTTCACTTCTATCCCACCGTCTGGCGCAGTGGCTGGTATGGTGGACCGGTGCTACCACATGCACCGGATTTATCTCCTGATGAAAAACAAAAACATCATTAACAAATTTTTACATTCACATAAAAACAAATGGGTCATACAGAAATGGCCAGGTTGCATTTGTATACCAAATATCATGAGGCCGTGATGTTAGGAAAATTTCCTACCATTAATGTGGAAAATTAAGTCGGTAATCAGGAAGTGGATGAAGCATAAAACTGAAATTAATGCTGTATACCAAATATCAAGACGCTGTGATACGTAGTTGCTGAGAAAACTGTTACAAAGTTTTTTCCCGTCCGCACCTGTACAGCCTGGCAAATAAACCACAACAAAAATTCAATCATTATTTTGTTTTATTTGCATAAAAGTTACATTGGCATGTAATGAAACATGTATGCTTGCAAACTATCAAAGCTTTGGCAGGGTTTCCATTAAGTTCCAAAATTTGAAGTCAGAGGCTGCAAAATGTTTAACATTGGCAGACACATTATATAGGTAAATAAAGAAAAGCATTACATTTTGGAAGTCACAAGCCAAAAACTAGGAGTAAATTACTGCCAAACTTCAACCAATGGAATCCCTGCTATGGTACAATAAACAAGGTGCCTGTCACTAAGGCCAATGATCATAGATTTGAGCTTGATTACTATTACTGACCTCATAAGATACCTTAAATTTCTTTAACAGACATACAACATTAAAGTGTTTCCGCAGAGGAGTTTCTGACCTGACAGGAGTGGAAAAATCAAGACATGTTGCAAAAAATATACTCACCTGATTTGGGTTAATTTTTAAAACATTTAATGTTTACCTTTAGAGCTGGTTTATGGAATGCTTTAGCTTTCTGTGGAGCTGTAAGGTCACAACTATCAAACATCATGGCTGTCAGGTCTGAAATTATATAAATTTGTTTTGTATTGTTTTCGATACAGAACTATAGAGAGCTATTTTTATCACAATAATTTTATTTAACTAATAAAAATAACACTGCCTTAGAAAAAAAATGATATTGTTTAAGTTACATAGAAAGTGCAAAGGAGTTGTGGCCATGTATTTTATTGTGTCAGCCTTGTAACCATGAGATCACAATTCACTATCACGAGACTCACTTGGCTACGGATGCCAAATAATGTTACCTTAGTGCAATAACTGATAATCCCCTAAGACAGTAATGGAAGACAACAATTTGAAAATCTAAATCTCCTCAGTAAGAAAAATGACTAGAAATGTGTCATCATGCCACGGATGCCCCCGCATGCAGCCGAAATTTCAAATGTTAAGATATTTAGTTCCAAATTTGTTTGCACAAATTATTTTTTTCATTCTAACTTCAAAGCCCTTAAAACTTTTCAATGTTAACACAAACCATTTTTATACAATGTTCAAGGCACTGAAATTATTCAGTCTTAAACATTTTTATACAATGTTCAAGGCACTGAAAATATTCAGTCTTAACCTTTTAAAAATAGCATATTGCATATTTGTAGCCAACATAATGGCTATATACATTTCCACAAAAGTATGAGTGCTGAAACTGAAAGTTCAAAATTTTTCCAACATTCAGGAAAGATAAGTTTGTCTAAAATCATTGAACCACGACCAAATTCAAACTTAAACTGCTTATTCCTAAGATGTATCTATATTATTTTCAAAGTGAAAGGGACATAAACTCTGCCAAAAAATCATCGAACCATGACCAAATTCCAACTTGACCTGCGCATTCCTTTGACATATCCATATGTCAATTTTGAGTTGAATATGTAACACTGTTGGTTGATAATGAACAGAAACTGTAAATTTCATATCATTTTCAAAGTGAAAGGGGCATTACTCTGCCAAAAATCATTGAACCATGACCAGATTCGAACTTGGTCTGCGCATTCCAAAAACATATCCATATGTCAAATTTGAGTTGAATGTGTAATATTGTTGGGGAGATAATAAACGGAAAACTGAAAATTTCATATTATTTTTAAAGTGAAAGGGGCATAACTCTGCCAAAAATCATCGAACCATGACCAAATTTGAAATTGACCTGCGCATTCCTTTGACGTATCAATATGTCAAATTTGAGTTGAATGTTTAATACTGTTGGGGAGATAATAAACAGAAACTGAAAATTTCATATTATTTTCAAAGTAAAAGGGGCATAACTCTGCCAAAAATCATCGAACCATGACCAAATTTGAACTTGGCCTGCGCATTCCTTTGACATATCCATATGTCAAGTTTGAGCTAAATGTGTTGTACGATTGGGGAGATAATGAACGGAAACTGAAAATTTCATATTATTTTCAAAGTAAAAGGGGCATAACTCTGCCAAAAATCATTGAACCATGACCAAATTTGAACTTGACCTGCGCATTCCTTTGACGTATCCATATGTGAAGTTTGAGTTGAATGTGTTGTACCATTAGGGAGTTAATGAATGGAAACTGAAAATTTCATATTATTTTCAAAGTAAAAGGGGCATAACTCTGCCAAAAATCATAGAACCATGACCAAATTTGAACTTGACCTGTATTTTCTCATGACATATCAATATGTCAAGTTTGAGTTGGATGTGTTGTACCGTTGGGGAGATAATGAACGGAAACTGAAAATTTCATATTATTTTCAAAGTAAAAGGGGCATAACTCTGCCAAAAATCATCGAACCATGACCAATTTCGAACTTGACCTGTATTTTCTCATGACATATCCATATGTCAATTTTGAATTGAATGTTTTGAACTGTTTGGGAGATAATGAACGGAAACTGAAAATTTCATATTTTTTTCAATGTAAAAGGGGCATAACTCTGCCAAAAATCATCGAACCATGACCAATTTCGAACTTGACCTGTATTTTCTCATGACATATCCATATGTCAAATTTGAGTTCAATATGTGCAAGGGTTATTAAGATAATGAACGGAAACTGATGATGACGGAAGGACGGAAGGACGGAATGACGGAACAGGGTAACACTATATGCCCCTGCCATTATATGGCGGGGCATAATAAAAGCAAAAAGCATTTAATGTTTTTTAAAGTAAAATTGTAAGCCAGGATGAGAAGGACAGCTTTTCATATACATTTTTACTTTGTGTTATCTAGCTAAAAGTGATTTCTATTGTGTTACTACCTTTCTTCTCTGTAGTAACTTGTGTTTGTGTTGTCATAGCAGCAGACTGTGTCACTGTGTTAATGCTACTTGACTGTGGACTGGTATTAATATTCTGTTGGGGCGGGTTCATAGTAGCAGGAGGCGGAGCCATACTTTCTGGGCTGCTTAAAAAGTCTCCAAAACCGTCATCAGTTTCTATAGTGGCAGGCTGTGACTTTACAGCTGAAAAAAGGCAAACAAATTTCAGAAAAATCATTTTTGATAATTGCAAAAACATATACCTTTTGTTGTAAAAATTATATTTTAGGTCCAAAGCATTCATTTTTGTTTCATTTAAATGTTTTATTCAGTCAAATATAGTATATCACCATATCCTTTGATTCTCTTGCCTTGGCAAGGCAACATTTACCATTAAACCACAAATAAAATGACCTTAGCCCACAAAGCTACAAAGAAAATATTCTCAACCACTCAGCCACAAAGAAAATGACCTTAAGAAACAAATAACATATATACCTTCTGTAGCTTTTGGCTTTGGTTTTGCAGACGGCTGACTACCAAATATGGAATCCACCAGTTTGTTTGGATCAAGGGTAGACCCACTGGTAGTCTTTCCAAACTGTTTCAACTTTGCCTGTTGTTGCTGGAAATATTTCTCTTTCTGTATCTGCTCTTCAGATTTTCCTGCATTAGGTCTATTATTTCGTACAGGTACACTGAAAAACAAATAAAAGAACATTTGAACACATGTTTTTTGAAAGATGTTTCTTCACAAAAACCAACTGTGACATATGTGTAACTTTTCACTGAATGAAACTGGATAGATTCCTCAACATATCTATACAAAGATGGGGTTAATGACTAATGTACACCATCAAAATACCTTATGAAATACACTGCCAAAGACATTTTAAATTGCATAATGCACTAATTGCAGATAAAAAACAACTCATTTGTAAAAAGAACTTTAAACTACAAGTATGTGCATACCTTACATACAAAAAGGCAATCAATCAATCAATCACAATTACCGAATTTCCTTTAAAGCCGAATATTTGTTCTGTGTGAACTACTATTATTATCACTGTATTAAATAAATATTGACTCCATTAATCAATCTAATGATGATTAATTTGTCTATCAAACTATCAATATACTATTATGTTTATAGCTAAATACCTAGATCTTGGCCTCTGAAAACTTTGGTTCAGGGCTTGATTGTATGATGGTGGGGCCATCCCAGGTCTCTGACCAAATGCCTGAACCCCTGGTGGTCTTGAGTTTACACTCTGATTGTATGTTGGTGGTGCCATATTCGGCCTCATCTGCATTCCCACCATCTATGAAAATATAAAAACATAATTTATTACAGTACATTTTTTTAAACAGTCAAGGACCAAAATAACCTGCGAGAGGCTAGTGATTCCAAGTACATGAAATAAATCTTTAACACTTAACCACATGGGCTCCCATACAATATTTTTAATCAGCAAACACAATTTAATTTTATATCTGTATTTATTTTGCTTATTAAATATACCAGTTACTACAGCCTACTAATATCAACATAGATATTTTGCAAACCCAACAGACAGAAAATGTGAAATATAATTTATATACAAGCGTAATTCAGTAGTGCAGTGCTGACCATATTAAACCATCATTACAGAGCTGTCATATCCTATCAAAATACTATTTCCCTTCTTATTTTCCCATAAGTATTCAATGCCCAATAAACACCGATCTTAAAACCTTTCGGCTTGTGGCAAAGACTTAAACATTTCAAATAATTTTTCACAAAAAGGAAAATTAAAGAACTTTTTCTTGTGGTAAGACTTCTGCAGTCATGTTTATTTCACAGGTTTGCATTCCAGTACTTTCCCAAGTTCAAATTTCTCCATATTAATTCTTGCATCAAAACTTACCAATTCAATCAAAGTTGTTACCCTTTGTCTTCAAATGGAAAAATAGGTGTTGCACAGATTCCAGTGTTGTCATTCAGTTGTTTCTGAGACATTTTGTTTTGAATCTGAGGTGACTATTAATTTTTTATTTTTATATTTTTGTCAAACATGTTATCTTGATTCGATGTAATAAACTTATTTTCTTAGACAATTGTTTTTCTTCAATTCAATACTTACATTTGTATTAAATCCCTGTGGTCTCATTGCCATTTGTCCTTGATTTTGCCCTCCAAAGTGACCTTGACCAGCATTCATAAATTGACCTTGTGGCATCATTTGACCTTGAGGTATCATCATCTGTTGACCTTGTTGCATTGGCTGAGGAAAGCCTCTAGGGTTTAAGTTTGGATTCATTTTAAGTACCTGAGAATAAAAGAAACAATTTTAGAGTAATGTTATCAATCTGAAATTCATTTGTTACATCTATTTTAGGCATGTTAAACTAAAATTTATGTACAATGATGAAAACTATGATATCAACTTTAATATGAGAGCAAAATATAATATATAGCAACATTGACTGCATAGTTTCAGTCTTAAAAATACTACTCAAACATATAACATGAAGTAAAGCAAAAAATGTAGATGCCACTATTTTTACAACTGTCTCTAAATGCAAAGTTTCTGCCAATAAATTTAATTTTGTGAAAGTGAATATATTATATATATATTATTGGTAGAAAATCATTTTATAAAATCTTCATGTTTGACTACAGTACTATTTCCCTAAATTGTTTTAACACATTCAATTAAAACATTTTATAATCCCATAAACTCAAACTGACACATTTCTGTTCGTAAAGTTGGTATTTTATATATAACTGTTGGAAGTCTTTTACAACTTAATTTGAAGATTTTGGCCCAAAGATCTATTCTTCCATGCTTGGATTTTTGGGGATTATTGTGATACCATGGTAACCTCCCCTGAAATCACAGACAAGAAGGGAATTTTCTGAAGTGGAAGAGCTAGGCAAGGGAAATTGACTTCCATATTAAAATAATGGGGAGGGGGAAGGTACAGGTTTTTAAAAAATATGTAGGGAATCGTTTGGGAAAGAAAATATTTGTCTGGGACCAGATTAAGCTTAAGCAGGGTTCCCTCTGGGTCAAAATTAGTTTGCGCCACCAAATTCGCCAATCAGAAAAAGTTGGAGCCAATGGCACCAAAGTTGGAACCAATAATTCTGCAAAGGAGACATGCCTATCTTTGCTAAGATATGCTAGCAGTTATATATCATAATGATTACAAAGACATATTTATAATATTTCATTTTATTACAGTTGCACATGTTTATTATCTAAAATATAGACATACTATTATGTGGTTTTCAAATTCCATTTAAATAAATACATATGACGGCATAAATATAATCAAAAACATCATGTTAAGTAAGTCATGGGAGGTCCTGTTTTCCACCATTTTGCCAGTATAGCAGTTCTTCTCACAGGCTGGACTGAGCCAAGATCTTTCCCAGCCTCTACCCGACAATCTGGTGATCTACAGATACAAAATAAACAAAACAACATTACTATAAATTGACTTCATCTAAAAATTAAGGAGAACAAAAAATGAAATAGATACTAAGTATTTTTAACAATGAAAAATATTGTTTATTTTAATAGGGTTTGCATGTGAATAGACAGGGCCAAAACACCATTTTTGGGGAAGGGGCCTCAGCCTTTTTCTTGGGGAAAATGTGCATGATTTTGGCATACTTTGGGAAAAGGTGTCTCAAATTTAACACAAACTTTTAACAAGTTCTTCAAAATAAAACAGCAAAAATCACTGAGAAATACTTATAAGGCAGTAAAAGACCTTAATTCAACACCATCTTTTAATTTTGTTCTAAATTCTAGGGGAAATTTAAAAAGAATGGGGAATTTTGAGGACCAAACTGGGGGAAAAAAGAGGCTAGTTTGGCTGGGGAAGCAGCCTATATTCGGCCTCTACAAAGAAGGGTTTTTTGGCCCTGATAGACACTTCAGCACTTTACATTCAGATATGAAAATATTAACATTGCAGTACAGTGACTTTAGATCAATCATTGGTGAAATTATTCTTTTAATTGTCATCCGATTTAATATTCAAACTGTAATTATTTTTAATCAGTTGACGAGTCAACTTACCGAAAGTTCAATGTTTGTCAACATCACTTCTCTGTTCGCTACTAACACCTGTTGACCACACATGTCAGAGAATGAAAGACGTAAATTGTTCCATTTAACACATTGACACTTTCATCTTCACATGTTCCCGAAGTGTCACACAATTGATGACATAATTGATTATACGGTACCCGATTATACAGTTTGATAAACAAACTAATAGCGCATGACCTTTCACATTTGGGCCGCTTATGTAATAGATGCGGCAGCTTAAGACATTTAAGTGTACTAGTTGTCGGATGCTTTTATCTTACGTTGGCGCCAGTTAAATTTGCCAATTAAAGATTTTATGCGCCAGAATTAATATATTGTCGCATTTGGCGCCATTGGCGAGCGACAGTGGGAACCCTGCTTTAGGGTTTTTATCATATGGACGATGGTAGCTATTGCAAAAATACAGACATCTATGTAATATCAGATTATACAATACACCCATAAACACTTTCAATATGATCTATGTAAATAACCGATGTGTATCAAGTGAAAAAATACGAGTTGCTTCCCTTATCTTCGAGTAAAATCGATATCGCTTATGCTTAAACTATAGCCGTGTTTAAACCGCTAGTTTGTTGTGATTAAATGTCCAATTTTGAAATGTATTACACCAATAGAAAGCTTGGAATCTTAGCTTCATCACAGTATAAAATTCAACACATCTTTGGACTTGAAAGTATAAATTAAATTAACTGTTAAACCTACCATATGTCAGACCATTTTACATACAATTTATACAGTGAGATAGGCAACCTGTCATCTTTACTCGAAATGACTACTGATAAGAACAGCCTGTTGTCTCCTAGCTCTGAAAGTGTTTATTGGTGTATTGGTGGGTCTTGCAGACAAAATATTGAGACTAAGACCAGATATAAATTATGTTCATCTATTCATCATAATTTTTGTGTTTACATCAACCCTCCTATTATCAACCAATATTAATCTCACATATAACAAGATTCAGTAAATTTATGTCTACGTTTCCTTGTACAAGTCGACAAAAAATTTTGTGAGAAACTTAACATTTCGTCCGGAAATAGATATCCGAGTATTGGTACATTTTCTAATAAAAATACATTTAAACGGTACAATTAGCTGATAATGTAAGTATTTATTGAGTTTTAAAAGATATCTTCTATAAGTTGTTGAAAACTATATTCAATGTTCAAAATTGGCTTTAAGACGTACCTTTCAAAAGTAATATGTCAAAATAATTTTTTTCTAATTAAACGGTGCATATTTTTAATTCATCATGACATTTAAATTGTTCTGGGGATATATACCACTAAATTTGAGTAATTATCCAGTCTTTCTGCAAGTTTAACCTGTCCATACCCGATTACTATATGACAAAGAAACCATAGTTTAATTGATAGACGGATATATTTCGGCGTAGTTCTTTCGTCCGTCCGTCCGTCCTTCCGCAGCAGTATTGACTTTTATAAAAGGAAGCTGCATGGAATGATCTTTAATCAGCAAAGCACGTAACTTTTAATTTAAGGGTTTGAAAATAACATTTTATGCACACACATATGCAGCGCTGCCAGGAACTCAAAGACCCTTCAGAATAAAAGAAAAAAAAAATCAGGGAGATGCAGAATATATCTACTCATGATCTTGTGAAGCATTAATCTCAGATTTGCGCATCTTATATAAGTACTAGTATCTATTGAAACTTGGTTTGATGGTAGAATTGTCAGGTAGTCAAACTATTTGAAATATTTTTTTATTTCCTGAGCTTTATTCTGAGATTTTTTTCGGAGATATTCCCAATACGTTAGCTGTCTCAAAATCTCTAATCGGGTTACAACTCGCTAGGCTATTTGTATGTCTGATATGTCTTTTTACACTGGGCATGGACCTGTACACATTTTCCAGCGTCAGAATCCATTTCTAAAAAGCATTTTTGAACTGTTATTTGGGTATACAGTTTATACATTGAGACGTCACTACGGGTTTTGAACCGGCGACCGCGAAGGCAATATTTTAAATATGGATTTAACCAAGTCACAAGGAGAGACGTCAAGGCTATAAGCGGTATGCAGCAAAACCCAAATTCTCTGCTCCTCTAAATAAGCTTGAACCAAGCCTGACAGGTGCGCAGGTGCATTATTATGGAATAATTTGATCCTGCGCACCCCAGACATTGGGTTCATTGTAATGTAGTGATTAACAACAGCATTGAGAACATCGTCATGGTAAAATGTTCCAGTGACACTGTCACTGTCAAAAAGTAGAGCGTACATAACCCTTCTAACGCTCCCGCTTTGTCGAGCAACAACTGGGCGATTGCTGTTTTCACCTACCCACATTTTGTTACTATGTTTATTATCGGGCTAAAAATAAAAAAAAATAAATAAATAAAGCCACGTTTCATCCCCTGTGACAATTTCTCTCGGGCGTCTAGGGTCTCAATCTTTGAACCTAGTCAATAAGGTCGAGGCTTTTTTAAACTTAGAAATCAGCAAATGCGGGTTCTAACGGACGCACACCTTTCTTAATTTTAACTTTCTTTCAAGATGCTAAACACATATGACGCACAAAGGTCCAATGTGTCACTTATCTCCTTCACGGTATATGCTGCATCTTCATCAACTATGGCTTTGACAGTACGGATGCTTTTTTTTCAGAGGTAGTGGAAATTGGCCGCCAAGGACGGGGATCATCCTTAACATTAGTTTTACATTCCTTAAACATTGACACCTGACAATTGAACGTAAGGGAATAAAATATCATATTATTCATAAACTAACTCTAGATCCGTTTCTTTTTATTTCTGACACGTATTTACCCAATAACCCACGCAATAAGCTTTAATTAAATTGAGTTGTTGCCACTAAACAAAATATGCCCTCCTTAATTAATTCTTAGATAAATTTTGCGGATATCTGTTCCAAAAGTTTCATGATATACATGTATATAACGGATCTCAAAAACATTTGGCTAATTAATTTTATAGATGTGTAGATAGTATTATTAGTGGTAAGTATACGGCACCGATGTTCACTGCCAAATAATTGTGCTTTAGATTTGCTGGTCTAGAGCCCTTGTCATACGATGGCATACTTATTAACTTATTGTGCTCTTATGTAAACACAGAGGTCGGCCATGTCAAGAGTTCATGACACCCAGTTATTTTATAAATTTTGAAATACTTAAATATAGCAACATGTTTATCTCTACTGTTTAGTAAAATTATTTTGTGCGCAAAGTTTTGAAGAAATTTTGCGTTCTTTTCATATTTGTTAATGAATTTAATTTCGAAGGTCTGCACATCTGCCTATTGTACGCGGTGATAAGTGAATGCTACCAAGTGAGTTAATACTGAAAATAAATAAACATAGTTAAAACTGATTTTTCGGAAGATTCTTTTTACATGACACTTAGTACATGAAATTCTATGTCAATGTTTTCTTACTAGTTGTTATAAGTAAACAACTCCTCATTGAATACATATGAGCCGCGTCACGACAAAACCAACATAATGGGTTTGCGACCAGCATGGGTCCAGACCAGCCTGCGCATCCGCGCAGTCTGATAAGGATCCATGCTGTTTGCTATCAATTTCTCATCTTGAAATAGGGTTTCTAAACGAACAGCATGGATCCTGATCAGACTGCCCGGATGCGCAGGCTGGTCTGGATCATGCTGGTCGCAAACCCATTATGTTGGTTTTGTCATGACGTGGCTCAATTATGTGGTGATGCAATTATGTATATCTGTATTTCCGAAAATAAGTAAACGTATTTCATACAAAAAGAGAAATATGTCACAGTGTCATATTTCACAAATTATGATTATGTATACAATTATTACTGTTTTGATTCTACGCTAACTGACAATAATTTCAAAGAAAACAAAATGTTAACCTGCACTGGCTACACTAACTGTAGATCAGACAGTAAGAGTATAGGTCAATTAAAATAAAGATAAGGTCTTATGTGGATGAACTCTGTAGCTTTCTTTTCACATATTGTAAAAGCGTACCAGCAAATTTAAACGTGTGTTAAAATATGAAACTTGTTTTTACTTTGGCGTTTCTAGTTTCAGGTAAGTGATTTGGCGGATTTTTAGAAACAACTACGTTTTAGTATATCGATATATTTGTTCATTAAAAATTTTAATAGAATATTTTGCGGTATGACTTTATCTATAATTTATCAAAATTCCACGTATGGGACACATACCAAATTATAAAATGGCTGCTTCGGTATAAATATCTACTAATACAAGTAAATTTATATATCATTGTCAATAACTTTTAAACAGGTTAATTTTATTAACAATATCATGACCATGATAATACAATATATAAGTAATAAAAAGTGTACTTATCTATATTTATTGATATGCCGATATTTCAATGTTGACAAATAAAAAGAAAAAAAAAGCAAACAAAAATTGAAGAAACCAACAACTTGTATTACACTTGTAGGGCTGTTTTTAGACTAGTGTTAATCAACTTTATCTAATTTAAGCGGCATTCTGTCAAGATGCACAATGGTACTGTGGTATCCTAGGTAACGAGGACTGTATGCAGCACAATGTAGAAGAGAGGTGTGGCACTAATGGTGTGACGTACAGAAACATGTGAGTATTACAATAATACACAGGTACATTAAATTTAAATCGATAAATTCTGAAAAGTTGAGATGCCAGCTTTAAAATGAAAACAAAAGTCACAGCAACAACAAACAAACAACAACAACAACAACAACAACAAAAAAAAAAACAAAAAAAAAGGCTTGGTTTCAATGAGTTTATTTTTTAATGACAATGAAAAAATAAAAGGTCGAACACTGAAATCCCTCCCCGGCACCGGCTTTAAGCTCATTATAGTACATGATAAATAGCACAGGTTGAGTAATTACGTAGTTTACCGATTCATATCTGCTGGAAGCGAGCTTTAAACATTCGCTGGATTTAATCAAATTAGTTTAAGCCGAAACAATTAGAGTTTAAGATATTTCTTTAGGGTAAAGCTCCTCCCGAGAATGACAAACATCATTTGCTTAGAATGATAATGTACAATAGAATCACTTTTTAAAAGATTTAACGGTAGTTTTCAGTAAAACGCACTGAATAAACAAGATTAATTATCATGAAAAGATATGTATCATAAACGAACCAACTGTTGTTTTTATTCATATAGGTGTACTCTTGGAAAAGCTCACTGTGCGGATACTTCAATCAACCAAGCTGGCATGGGAGCATGTAATGCAACCGCAACTAAAAGCCCGGCGGAAGTTCTCCATGGAAGTCAGGTAAGACATAATTATCATTACGTCTGAAAATGTTACATACTTTAATTATAAGTAACTGTTGCATACATTAAATAAACTTTTGCCTTAAGTGTATCGATTACTTAGCATATAACAAACTTTCCACGAATGGAATTGAGTTGAATCATTTTTATGTAGATTTATATTCAAAACTTAGTATACTACATTATACTTTTGTGTGGACATAAAATAACAATATATTCCCCTTTCTGATAGAACTATAAAATTGACTACAATTCGACATGTTATTTGTTTCCCAAGTCTAAAATGTAATATGTGGCATTTTAAAAATGACAAGAGGACCGATATCGCTCTTTTTGAAAGAATCAATGATCAGCAACTTCACAAAATCGAAAAATAAAGAAAACCTTTTCCCCCATTATCGGCTTTCAAAAATCATGCACAAAAGCATTGCCTTGTTGTGTGTATTTAGCATTTCTAAGTCTTGTCCGTTTTTTTACATGCATAAAAAGTTGTATGTGAAATATTCAGATTCGGAGCATGTCCTTCGCTAGATATAAATTACAACCCAACAAAATGTATAGATCTGTTTTGACAAACATTCATAGATAAGATGGATGAATTTACCAAATAATATTAATATTCATAATGAATAATAATAATAATAATAATAATAATAATAATAACAATACATCATAATAATAAATAATAATAACAATAATAATATAGTAATAATAATAATAATAATAATAATAAATAAATTAATATAATAAATTAAATAAATAAATAATAATAAATAATAAATAAATAATAATAAATAAATAAATAAATAATAAATAAATAAATAAATAAATAAATAAATAATAATAATAATAGACATTTTTTAACTGATGATGTAATAATCAATATTATGTTTTCTCTTTTAGGTGATTTTAGACTTCGAATGCGTCATGCTCAGCCACAAGTACTGTGTACCAAGTGCAACTGAAAAGGTTTGTGGAACTGACGCCCGAACATACGCAAACTTGTACGTACCCCAGCTTTCATTTTATTAACTCGATCACAAATCAACATTCCTTTGCTTCATATACGTAAATAAGTTCTAGATCAATAATGATTAAATCATATATGGTGAATATTTAATATTTTTATTGCACAGTTTTACTTTGCTATAAAACAGAAAATGAAAACAAAAATGCATGCAGCTTTTCGGAATGTAAGCAAAAATAAAATCAAAGCGCTTTTCTGCAGACACATGATCTAATTTATACAGATGCTTTGTATGACGTACATTCCAAATCTGCTGATTGGATAACAGGAATCATTATTATTATTTTAACATATAAATACCTTCAAATACTTGTGATTTCAGTTGTGAATACGAGAAAGCAAAATGTACGCACAGAGATCTTCATGTTGCCAAGCTTGGAGATTGTAATGCTTAAGTCTATTTAAGATTTTGAATTGTTATTTACAAACAAAAATATCAATGTCATTAAATTCATGTGAAAATAAACATTACTGAATTTGAACAAAGTGATATATTGTTATTCTTTTCCCTGTTTATAAAATTGTCTGTGAATATCACGACTGTTATGAATTGAAGCAACAACGCCCGCAATTGTTTTCAGTTGGAATCCTTAAACAAAACTGCACATTTTCTTAATTCAAATTTCAGCATTTTCGTGTTAAAATGTTGAATTCTGCTTAAGCCGGTGCAATGGGGTGTGGACGGTAACTTGCACTTGCCAGTACCGTCCATAAACAGGCTCAATCAAACCGAGCCTGCAATATTTTTAATTTGGTCGTGTTAGGCTCTCTTTAGGGATTTTGTTTTTCTGCATTTCATAAATATCTTAATTCATATCTTAAATTGCCGTAGAGTGAACCGTTATGACGAACAAAATTTAATACTGGTAACTTTAAGGCATACCATACTCCCGTAAGATTCAGACATATTGTCCACATTTTGTATTGCATCTGAGCTATTGTTTCATGGCCATTTGAACATCCTGTGAGTGCGATGGCACCTGGACTAATGAAAAATTAAAGGACACTTGAAAGTAATAGAGACCATTTTGGAAATGATGGATTGTTTTACGAAAAGTGTCACATTACAAACAACAGCTTAAATCTATGCTTCCCCAAATTTATCTAAAAAAAGGTAAATCAAATTGGAAGCTTTGGAATCTACTTGACTTTTTAAAATGAAATATAGGCAGACTATTATCTTTCTGAATTGGTGTACTTGCTTGTCCTGGGTTTTGACTATTTGTCAACTTTATCTAAATATTTTAAGCGAGCGAATATTTACATTGATGGCAAAAATTACATAACAAAAAGAAGATAAGGAGTAAGTAAAGCATTTACAATTCAAGTTACTAGGTAATTTGAAAAATCACAAATCTTTTGTGGAACTTTTGGTCTGAATATTTCCCTTTCAAAGCATTTAAAACAAAACAAAAATTAAGAACTAAATGTCATTTATAATCATAAGATAGAATAACGAAAGTATTGACAATGTAAACACATTTTGATGTAGATTACTGTAATCCGGTCTTATTCGCGATGCTATTATTTTCGCTATCATTCGCGAATTGGTTGCCTTGATAATTAAATAATTCCGCGTAGATTTTATAGCATAACATACATTGATTTATACAAACTTTATCCGATCCCAAAATTACCAAATGAAATCAGGCAGCTGATTAATCCTACACCTTAAACCAAAAGTACTTGAAAACACATTTAAAGCATGATCAACCTCAAATCACAAAATAAGCTGGATCTACCTGAAATCATAATGATAATATTTGCCACTTGTTTAGCGCCAGATCAGTCTGCATTATTGAACAGTCTGATCAGACACTTCTATACTGCTGGAAGCTCAAGTTTTGTATCTTGATTAATCAAAACTTAGTTGTTTCGAATTCAAAGTAAGGCAATCCATTACATAAATTAATCAGGTTAAGGGTAAACACGAACAAATTTTGGATGCATGTTTCTAGTTTCTCTTTTTGTCAACAACTTACTACTAAAACAGCATCTACCTAAATTTAAGACTTAACATTTTACTTGTGCAAATGGAGGACCTGGTTATGCTACAATATTACGATTGCTTAGTGCATTCCCTAAAAATAACACTAATTTGGGCGACAGAATTTGCTCACTAATTGTTGACGTTTGATGGTTACACTTTATCTTAGTGTTCTTCTTTTGCACTAATTTGTTATTGTGACCTTTGGTTTGGTCTTTATCTTGATTATAACAATTTGTTACGATATACGAGTACAAATTATTTCTATCAATTTATTTATTCATTTTCTTCAATTTATTTTTTACTTTCCTATTAACTAAGTTACAACTCTGTGGAAATTTTGGAACTTTGAATCTACTGTTTTGTATTCTTTTTGAAATTACATCATGTACAATTATTTATTTTCATAACCTACATACATGTAACCTACATACATGTATATGTTTTATCCTTTCTATCATTTATGAGTCTTATTATCTTAGGAAACAAACAAGATGTTAGACATGTTCCTCACATAATCAACATCGGACTTGAAATTCTCTTGTTTTCGAGTGATATAAGAGCAAAGTAAAATACTTCAGTTTTCATTTTTTTTTAAAAATATCTATACATTTGCACAAAATTTCTAATTATTCATTGCCATGACTTCATCTTCATGTTTGTAATGACATCATAGGCTTGTCATTTTTTCTTTATCTTTACATACTAATGTTCTGACCATGAAAATTGCTGTTGATGTTAACTGATAAAAATATTTAGATTTAGGATAATTATACAAATTGATGCAAAGTTAAACTATCTCTTTCATTTACCACAATGAAATTTAAATTAAATCTGAATTGATGTCTTCACTATTGCATAAATTGGTTAAAGTCATGATGAGTCAAAATATCTTCAAAAAATCAAAACTGGAGAAATTGTACTTAGATGTAGGAATGAAAAGAATTATTTTAAGATTCACGTAATATTTATCATATTATGTCGATTTAGTGCTGATTTTTCAGTAATGTCACTGTAACTGCGTTAATAACGCAGTAAAAGGCTAATTTAATGCATATTTTGACACTTTTGGTAATTTACATGGTTGTATTGCCATTGATATGGTGTAAATTGCTTTCCATTTTTGTTTACTTCATAATATTACACATTAAATACATTTTCAAATTTTATGAAATAGGCATGGATTATGAGGGCGTGCTGCGTTTAAGTCATGATTTAGAGATAAGACTTATTATTAATGTTACATAATCATTATCTAATTTACAATAGTTGAATATCTTTGTTGGAATAGATAAAATGAAATCAATTTTTATATTGTCTGCTCTTTTTGCAGGTAATTATTATTATTTTAGATGAATTATTATCGGAATATCTACAGAATAAACATTTGCAGAGCCTATTTTGAAAGCCCTCTTTTAGTAGCTCTTGCTATTTTAAACAATAAGTCTATATCATTACTGCCATTAAATTGTTGTCGTTTTTATTTTCAAGGGTTAATCCTTTTAAATACAAGACAAAAACATCCCTTTTTCATTTACCATATTCTGCCTTAATTGATTTTACAATAAATCTTGTAATGTTTGAACATTTCTGTTCACAATCGCTTTTTTGTTAGTCTAAAACATTTTTTAAACTATGACATACAAACAGCTCTGGTATTCATCTTATTTTGTGAATGTGTTAATTAAATGAAAACCATCTGACACTGACAGTTTACTTGTCACAAAAAGACAGAATTCGAAGCTACATTTAATGTCGTACTTGACGTTATGTAGATTGGATCAATTGCGAGGTATAAACGAAACTAAGGCCAGAAACATACCCTATAAAGTGGGCTACATTTGACATATACTACATTATTTGCATTTAGGTTATATCAAAACCAGCAGAATGGTTTATGCCACAGTATGTTTTGGGCGAAAAGATATTATTGTGTATGTGTAATATTGTGTATGTGGTGTAACAAAAGTGATATGGTTTGTATCAATTATTATTCCAAAAGCACACCAGAATGTTGACAACTGTCCTGGACAGTTTATACCGACGTTATGTTACAGTTTATAACAATATAAAAGTGTTCCGTAACGATCTTATCTATTTCAAAAGTGCCCCGGAACAGTTTATATTTATTTTTCTACAGTCTTACAATACTTATAATTACTAATTGAAATGTATTTATAAACAAAGGAAATGGTACTGTTAAAATGGAATTTCTGTCTGATTGAAAAATATATTCAATTGCCAGAGAAAGGTCATTTATTCATTCTTCAGTCCACTCCATGAATAGAATGGAATGGAATGGAATAGAAACGAACGAAATAGGCATCCAACTTCATCATTTGTTTTACTTTTACAGTTGCATGTTGTCAGCAGAACTGGAATGGCGGACAAATGGATTGGTACTGTGGTATACTGTTTAATGAAGACTGTCAGCATCATAACTTACATGAGAAATGTGGCACTGACGGCATCACATACAGAAATATGTGAGTTAGCAATCTAGTTGTTACGTTCTGCAATGGTATTTGTCTGGGGTCTTTGGGCGGTGCTACACAATGTTTTCCCAAATAAAATTATTTTTGCTTTTAAATCGTTTTTTTATCATTTTCTCGTTTGTTCTAATGTATTTATATGATTACAATATTACTCTGTACAAATGTGAATATATTTTATATGCATATGCAAGTTTGTGTAAGAAATAAATACAGGCTTCGTATTTTCTTGTAGATACAAATTTTACTTATTGACGTTTTAGAATTATACAATGTTCTATTTGATGACATTGAAAACTACTTTCATGCTCTTTCTTATCTATTTATAAGACATTTATGTATATTTATGTATGAGGACCTTTAGGTACACTATATATTACATGACCAGGGTCTAAATATGTGACATATTGTTATCCTTTTCATAAATTTGATTAACTCAAACTAAAGCTCTATATCGCCCTGCTTTGTGTTACTTAATTTGGTGGTGGGACTCAATTACCAGTCTGTGTTTTTTATAAGTATAACGTATACGCATATAAAATAAATTGTAAGAAATAAAAACGACTATTTAGGACAAATACTTGATATAGCACTTACAGTCGTCTGAGATGATAACCTCTTATGCAAGCTTGTATGACATAAGAACAAATGTCAGTGACATATATGAGCGTTTATATATTAAGGTAACTGTTCTAAATCTAGTCATTCATTCACTTGGAGATACTTTTTTTCTCTCCAAATATAGATGTCGCAATAACTTTTAGCTCAAACACAAATTAATTTTCGCATACTTGTTTTCAGTTTTGAAATTTGAAAAGCAATAACAATTCAAAGCAAAACGATTCTTGCATAAATGCAATGCATTGTGAAAAATATTAGTTTACATGTATATGATAATCAGTATTAAAGATCCTGTAATTTTTACTTTACTTTTATATGATAAATAATATAATACTAAAATAAAGATTTATCAATATAGTTAGTACAAAAAAAAAACAACATTATTTGTAAAGATATTACCGAATTTACATTTCATGTTAATAAAGGGAGGTAATTAGAAATTTACTTTCCATAAAGTCTAATTCTCTAATTTTTTCAATAAGAAATTAATGCAAATATTTTAAAGATTACGTATAATGTGGACAAATATTTCCAGTACATATTTTACATTTTCTTCGATGTTTGAAAATTGTTTTAGAAGCATAATTGTATACATATATAAAATTTCACTTAAGTGTGGTAACAACTTAAATTACAACATACAGGATCTTTAATTTTGTTATGACATGTTCCACTGTATTTTTGTTTGTTTTCGTTTTGTTTCCCGTTTTATTTTCTTTCTCAGCATATTAAGTAGCACTGAATATTGTCATCATAATTCATTACCAATAACGTTGGCCTTCATTATAATTACATTTGCACCAATAATCAATAAATAAATTTGATAATGAGATAAAATGTAGTGACGGCTTGAAACTGATATTTCATTACAACATTTTAAAAGCTAACCTAAATATAATTTAAATGTAATGATCCCATGAACTGATTCCAAGAACGTATCACAGATATTTCATTGTTGACCATTTGGTCACCTTATGCTTAAAATGTATAGTGCGACATTGTTTTTTTTACATAATATAATTACAACGATATTTTTAATGGCTAAATGTTATTGGAGCGTAAACGTTTAGTATTGTGATAGATGCAGACTATATAAAAGCTTGCATTTATAAGTACTTTACAAAAGTATTCGATATTTGTTTGTAAAACAAATTTGTCGATGTCCAAATATAACTTATTGCCATTTTCTGATGCTTGTCCTGTCTGGCTTGGTGTAAGGGTTTGGGATGTGTCGACAGCGTTTCGTTTACGTGGCACTGCCTTGATGATCCTTGCCCACTACTTTTAGATTGTTTTATGTTATCTCGATAAAAATCTCCAGATATCAGTTTATATTTCTTTGCTAATAAAGAATGTATTTGTATGTTTAAGTCGATATTATTCTTTTGTCAATTGTTAGAAAAGGTTAGCTATGGTATAAAGTGCACGGAGTTTGGATTAAATTATGCCTTCAAAGGTAATACTCATAAACCTTCACTGAATCAATCAAACTTTGACTCTGTGTCTACTTGCTTTGATTGTGATAGGAGACTAAATTCTATGATCTGACTGTTTATCATCATTTATCAAGAAATTTCATTTTTCATTTTCATACTACCGATTTTATTAAACTATTGATGATTCTCGGCTTTTTTGACGATGTTAGTAGACTATGTTAATTGCGTATGTGAGTATTACAGGTGTGACCTTGGCAAAGCACACTGTAGGAATAATGTAACCAACCAGTTGCACGATGGTCCATGTGCACTAGGGCCAACTTCCACTACACGAAGACCCAGAAGAAGTTCTCTCCACGGAAGCGAAGTAAACTATTATTTCCAGTTAAAGATACAGTTTTGGGAGACATGTTGTTTTTGCCTTCGCCGTCTGTCTGTCCGCCCGCCCGAGCTTACATATGGATACTTATGTGGCTAGAGGGACAATAGGTTACTGTACCTTTTCTTTAATGTCATTCATTACGTAAGGCTTTTATATGGCTCTATTCTTTGTTGTAGCTAAAATAATAAATAGAGAGAACAATAGAGTAGCCAAATTATTACTGTCCCGTTAGAACTTCCGTCTGTCCGTCCGTCTGCATTCAGCTTGTCCAAAGTGTTGGCCGGATTTCAATGAAACAGGAATGATCAGTACCATCCCTAGTTGTGCATATTGCCTACACGTTCCGCTTGCTGCACAAAATGGCCACCATAGTTATAAAAAGAAAATATTGTTCCGGCTTTCAACAGGTTAAAACTGCTGCTGGTTGGATTTTAAATTGAAACTGCACAGAAGTGATTCACTACCAATACCCTTAAGTTTGTGGCATATGGCCGGCAAGTTTCGGTTCGCTGCACAAAATGGCACCCAGAGCCACAAATAAAAAAATGTTGTCCGGCTTACAAAGGTCAAACTGTTGGCGGGATTTCGATCAAAAAATCACAGGAGCGATCAATACCAAACATTGTTTTGGGAGACATGTTTTGTGACAAAAACCCCTTCTAGTTTCATACTGCATTCGTGAGTGATAAAGTCTTTGTTCATCTTTACAAATGCTTTAATAAGAGCTTGATAGTAAATATGACAACTTTATCAAATACAATAGTCATTTAAAGGAATTCATGTTACTAGTACTTCTTTGAATCGATTTCATGAATATGCACAGGAGGATAACATTTTCGTGATGTATTCTTGAATAATTGTTGATAACTTTATTGAGCCTTTCTTGTACCTTTTGGCCTCAAAGGATGAAATATAATTAAAAATAAAATAAGAAATAAGATAAAGCACTTACTCCGAATGTAATGTTAGCGCCTCGTATATGACAAACTGTATTCTGATAGCTAAATAGTGTTTTACATTGGTTTTTTGTGTTTCAGATAGTCTTAGATTTTCAGTGTGTTTTGCTCAGCCATAGAGATTGTCAACCGGCATACAATGAAAAGCTTTGCGGTACTGACGGCAGAACATACCGCAATTTGTAAGTGCTTTTGTGACCTTTATTTCATTTGATACGATTCTCTTAAATGTATCTTGAGTTCAACATGTTCCTAGTCATAAAAATACAGTTTTCATGGTCTACTTTCCTAAAAACAAAGTAACATACAATTGTGTTTTCATTTCAATTAGCCTAAAACCTGATGAGTTTTGTAAATTGTTTAAAGTACTGGAGTAAAATAGCTATATTCTTCGCAATATATAAATTCATGTTTGAAAAATACTATAACTGAGTTACTTTTGCCTCATGTCCAGACAAAATTAAAACAAGCAAACGGATTGAGCTGGCAATAAGAACGAATTTCTTTTAATGTTGTTTAGAAAATGTATTTGATATATTCAATATACATCAATATATACTTATTTCAGTTGCGAATACGAAAAGGCGAGATGTACACACAGAGATCTTCACGTTGCAAAATTTGGAGACTGCAATGCTTAATTCTAAAATGCATATTGTATAGTTTTAGACATTCAATATAGATCAAAGAAATGCTAATTCTTTTCTTTTTTGTTGCAATATATTTTCTCATTTTATGAGATGGTTTTCACAAGTCTGCAGGGATTCTTTTTCAAATTATAATGAAAGAGAAATATTTTACAAAATTAAAAGTTGACCTGAGGTCTTTTTAACGTTAACCACATTAAAAACTATTATCTTAAATAGACTCTTTCATCTTTCAATCTTGATAAGACTTTTCTATTCTGTAATGGAATGTACTGAGTGGAAAGCAAACAGTGCAGACCATGTGCTGGAAACACAGGTAGATTCAGTCGCCACCTTTAGATTAAAGGTTGCAAGAAGCAGTTATATTATTATGCTTGAAAAGTGATTTCGATTAAACTTGTACATGAGACACAGTAAAAAGGGCCACATCTCGGGTGCTCCCTAGCATCGACTCAATAACAAAAGATAGCTTGTGTGATATATTTTCAAGATATTATCTTATAAGATGAGAAGTTTTGCTTGAAACTGTTCAATTGTATTGTATTGTTATTTCTCATAAAGTTACGCCTTGAATTGTGTAAGCACACCGAACGTTTCCATTATTCGTAATATTCTAAATATTCTGTGGCTTGTCAACAAAACTTTGTACAAGAAATTTTGCTTAGAACAAAGGTAAAGTTTTTGGTGTCATAACCAGTCAACTGCTTTGTCTCGTTATAGTAATAAAGCACATTTCACAAGAACCACACAAAGTGCTCCAAATACAGTGTTTTCACAAGATAAGAAATAAAAGTTAAACTTTCAAATACCTTATGGTGTACTCATTTGTATACCTGAATTATTTCTTTTCAATCGACAACATTGATACTTTGTATATCTCTTTGTTGTGAAACAATATCTATTTGAAATTAGAAACTATTTATTAGACATCAGACATACTTCGGATGTTTTTAAGCGCGTTTATTGTAAATTGCCAAAAATCATGAATAATATTTGCGTTCGAGCATGCCATTTTATAGACAATGGCGTTATTCAAACCTACGTTTGTTATGGAAAAAAATATTGTGGTTGTCTGCAACTTATAAAAACGTGTTTATTGTTAATTTTAGTTACTAGTATACAAAAGTATTTTATTAAGTTCGCCAATTTGCTATACCTTTGATTATTGTCGTGTTCTAGATGTGAACGTGTGCTAAAGCATTTTGTGTCAAAGATGTCTACCATGCACACATGTGAAAAAGTACATATGACCCAACATGAGGTCCTGACGAAGTAAAAAATGGTAGTGAAGTGAGTCCTTTCTGCAAAAGGCGTGATATATAGTAATAATTATCTCCATGTATCCAAAATACTCATTTAGTATCAGGATATTCTCTTACCCTGGATATCATCAGCTATTCATTTTCATTTGCTCTAAAGCGACCTTATAGATTTAAATAAACAAAATAAAGATTTCATATTTTGAAAAATGCTTAAAGTGTTTGAGCAATTAACTAATGAATATCTTGACTTAAAAAGTGGATGAATACACGACAGAACATGTTGTCGCATTCGAATTTTTGACGTTATTGCCGCTAACAGTACTGCAGTCTGCTATGTTGTTGACATCGGTTTCAGTGTTGTTGACGCAGCAAGTTTTGATAAATGCATTGATATACAATTTTGGTTTTCCAGAGCAAGATTCTCCGAGGAGAAGATAAGAGTTTACCAGACTATATACACATTTACATGCATATTCTAGTGGCAGAGTTCCCAGCCTTAGTTTAACCTATACATTTATAGATATTGACACGATAGCTGTAAGGATTTCCTGTATTGTTCAGCAATTCTAGCGTTCTTCCATGGAAGAGTCTAACAATTTAAGTTTTTCATTCCATTTGATTTTTCCTGGTCTAAAAAACTAACAGTCATTGATCGTCCCTCGCGTTTGTGCAATTCTTTGCCGCACACTGAAAAAATGACAAACGAATACCGACAAGTTCCAGCGCGTACGTTTATTTACAATTCTAACATTCCTCATGATTGTGTCACTATACACAAAGAAGAAAGAAAACGGTGTTAAACTGTCAATGAACACTGGTAAGGAAGTACATGTATATGTGTCTGTTCTTTTTTATACATAAAATATATACTACTTCGATAATATATACTGTGCTCCTCTTAGTTCACGGTACTAAACACTTTGAAGCAAGAAAGAAAACAACACGTAAAACTAATGGTACATAAATTGTCATAAGCTGTAACATATAGGTACTTTCTGCTGTATGACACAAGGAAACAACAATATATTTAGTCAAAATCAGTTTAAATGAGCCAGACGTAGACCATGTGTCGGCCATTTTGAGAAAAGTCTGTCATCATTTAAATCGCGGTAAGTGTTTTATTTCAGTTTTTCATGTTTCACTTAAAATTTCTACATGTTATTTTGCATAATTTTAAATATTAAAAGTATCTTTACATTGTAACTCAATATCTATTTTTCAACAAACAAGAACATTTAGAAAATGATGATTGTTTCAGACGTATGCACAGATTTAACGGACTATTGTTGCTTTATGCAGTATTTTGTAAAATGTTGTTCTGTTTTACGTAAAAATCTAGAAATTTAAAATATTTTGCACAAAAACTTTGTTCCATAGGTGTATGAATGAAATATGCCAATTCCGACCAATATTAACACTGGTCACATGAAAATATGCTATTACCGTGAAATAAGTGATGACGCGGAATTAGTGATGTTGAGTATAGATAAAGTTTTATATGGTAACAATAATAATGCACTTTTATTGATATTTTCGTTCTAACTAAGCTGTCTTTTCATATGACAATAAAATAACTTACAATAAACGCAACGGGTTTTATCCTTGTCAATAAAAAAAATATATTGCAATTCGTATGCGGCATAATTGTGTCAAATTTCTAACCATCAAAACTCCAAACCGGTGTTAAATAGCCGATAAACACCGCTGAAACCGATATGATTACTAAAAAACCTTTCTATTCTTATATTGCACGAAAGAAATAGTTTTAAATAACAACAACTAATTACGAAAAGAAACACGTTAAACCATAAGCTTATATAAGTTATATAAAAAGATTATTCAATAATAATAATAATAATAATAATAATAATAATAGTTATAAATAGTAATAATAATAATAATAATAATAATAATAATAATAATAATAATAATAATAATAATAATAAAAATTATCAAAAATAATAATAATAATAATAATAACTGAAATACAAAGATTGTCACGTATTATTACAGCAAAATACTTGAATGTGTTATATTATAATTTAGTTCCGTTTCCTAAAATCGCGCAATGCATTTAACTTCCTTGTAGCCATTTTGAAAACAGCAGCGAAATGGTGAGTAATTATTGTTTTACTTCTTCCTTTTTCTCAGCGCTAGGTCATTCTTAGAGATGCTTCCGAAAATAACATACGATCAGGTGATTTCTTCAAACATAAACCATGTTTTTTAATGAACATTTTGTCAAAAAACGGCTCATAGAAAAAAAGTTGCAAATTACTTCAAATGAAAACGTGCTTCTATTAGTTCAAAAACTATGATATCTAAATTTAAAGTTGAGATATATTCCGTGCTAGTATTTATAAAAAAAAACAACAACACATTATATGGGGAAGGTAGGGGACAGGAGATTTTTATATTAGATTATTGAACTTTCCAGATTGTTTTTGACCTTGATATATAATTATGAACGTTTATATCGCGCGACATACCATCTTATCACAATTTTGTTTTTGCGAGTTTCGACTTGTTAACATTCCTTCAGATACAGGAAAGGATGAACTGAAATATTACCCTACCTTCCACGATATTACAACATTGAAGTGTAACATTAAAGACACATTTTTTTACTTTACCTCAAAAGCTTTCCTATAATTATCCCAAAAGCTTTGAATTCATGATAGCATATCAGAAGATTAATAATTCATTTGTTTCAGTCTGAGGTATTATGTGCCTGTTTGTCTATTTCTATATTAGTTTTCACATGGATATGTGATCCTAACACATTTGTTGTTTATAACATGAAAATTAGTCAGCATCACAATTTTAGTAAAAATAATAAAACTACTTATTTCGATCATTAACATATGGTCCATGAAATATTGAATATAATATGCGTTATAACATACTTTAAATAGAACATTTTATTGTTTTTTTGTGTGATATTATATAAAGGGGTCTGTTTTACTAAAATTAAAATGTTTATGAAAAGTTAATTTTTGAAACACTCTCGTATTGTATTCTTATCGGGTTCTTATGTGAACAATTAAATATCATGGGTTCAATTTGTTTAAAGGTATTCCAAGTGTGTTTGATCGGTGAGATAAGTTCTGTTTACACAACACATTTTACACTTCGTTTCGATCTCATTACATTTACTAATGTACAGTTTATTTTACATCAGAACTCAGTGTATAAAAGATCATAGATAATTTACATTGAGAGTAAAAATTAGTTTAACGAAATGTTGTGTACAAAATAAATTGTATGTTGAGTTTAAATTTGGCTTCAGACACCCAGACTTTCACACAATTAATGTGATGGGTTGGGTAATGAACCCTTTAGATTCTATCTATAGTAATCATAAATGTTTCGTTTGCAAAGCCAAGGCCGGTTTACCTTTTAAAAACTTTTTCCTTTTTTTCTTCTTTATCATAGCTGTTTATATTGAATTAAAGATATAAGAAGATTGTTGATTTTGTCGTATTTTACTGTTTACACATCATATTCATATAAATGGCAAGTCAACATGTATATACATATATTAAGGTTTTTATTTAATAATGTGAACTATGAAACATGACATTGATTTATATATATTATAGTACAAGATACATACAGGCTGGGCTGGGTAGCAATAACATGTCAAAATGATTGACGAGAGTTCTGTATGTAACACTAAAAACGCGTGCATGTATATAATTATAAGTTGTCATTAATGGAAGCTGTCATGATATATACGATTCTCAAATGTCCAGTGGGACAGTTCGAATTTGGTATTTCACTTGTACACTTGTGTATTTGTATATTAAAAGTATGAAACATCTGTGAGTTCTCTCTCCGTTATACGACAATTTTACACTATTTTTTATACTCTAATTTCCATTTAAATTATTTCATATGTGATTCTTTTAATAATACTGTCATTTTTTGCATATGATGAAAGTCACACTTAAAAACAATTAATAATGACACCTTAATCAATACAGTAAAATAAAAAGTGTCCTATTTTGAAGATACATCAATATCAATATGCTTACAATTTAATTTCTTTGTTTACATTTTTTTTTCTTAGCTGCAATAAATGTGTATGTCATTGTTGTACAAGCATTGCTATCATTTCCATATGTTTCAAAACTAAGAAATAACAATTGCAATTTGTATTTAGGCAGGTATATTAATTTCATAGTTTGGGGACCTTTCTGTTGAAATGTGTCACAGTTAAATCGTATACATATACATGTACAAGCTCAGTGCGTTAACTGGAGTGCAGGTATAAGTAACCCGCATCCCAGAGCATGCCCATTGATTGGCCCATTTTTGCTTACTTATTGTGACGTCAGAGAAAGGGAAAGCAATAGATATATCATATTCAGATGCTCGTTCATTGGTTACATTTTACTGGGGTTTCATATTATGGCAACAGGGAACGTTTCACTATATTAGAAAAGAGAGAGAACATCAAAACACTCGGCAATCTGATTAATACTCGGGGGCTACGCTCCCTCGTAGAAATCAGATAGACTCGTGTTTCGATGCTCTTTCTATTACTTATTGTTTCAAATTCAATTATATTTAGAGCTTATCTTAATTATAATACGGTGTTTTTAACTATAAGTAACTTTAGTATATGAAACTATACGTAACTTCAAGTTTTGAAAATTGAGTCCCGCTTAAGCCTTTGTTAAGGGATGCACTTTTTCATTTTCCCCCATGTACAGATTCAATCAAACCGAGTCTGCAATTTTCATGTAATTTTGTTGTGATTATTTTTTTTAATCTATGAGACATTACATAACTTTAATCTAAGGAACTATACATAACTTTAATCAATGTAATATCTTAATATCTTTTCAGCGATTTCAAGAAACTGGCTGGAAAGTCATATAATAATATATATATATATTAATTGATACATGATGATTTATCTCTATCAGTCGGCATAAAATAAATCAGAGTTGATATATTTAAACTAAATAATTATTTTTCCTGTTCTAATTAAATTCATTGAATTTGATCATGTTTTTTATTTCTTTCATTACACTTGAATTTTTAGATTTACAGTTCTTATATTAATGTACTTTATATAAATTATAAATTGGCAATAACAATGTTAAATAAAATGATAACGTTATGTCAATATTTTTAAAAGAATGTCCTTTTTCTTAACACTGCTCGTTTTTTTCAGGACTTTGTATCATAATACTTCTCTTAGGTACATAATTTAGACTAATTTAGTAATAATAATAAGCTTTAATCAAGTGATTTGTATCATAGTTGGGGGATATCAGCTCAATCAGATTGCGTGTTTTCATCTATTTATAGGCTGGTGATATTTTGGTTGGTTCTATAGACTTTGGAACAACGTACTCGGGATGGGCAGTTATGTTTGCCCATGAATTTGAATCAGAGCCGACGAAAGGATTTGTGAAGACATGGCATTCGGGAAGCTCGATAATCACGGAGAAAACACCTACAGTGGTACTTATACAACCAGGCGGAAAGGAACTAGAGGCGTTTGGTTACGATGCTGAGAATCGTTATAAAGAGCTTATAGAACAGGATGAACACGAGGGATATTACTACTTTCAGAGATTTAAAATGAAACTTCACAAGCAATTGGGCGATGTAAGGAATAGTTCAATTATTAATGAATTGCATTTGTACAGTTTCTTGATTTTTACACATTGCTTAGTTTGATTATCCTGCTTTAACTTATTTCATTTCTGTATTATTATGTTTCTAGCATTGATCTAAATTCCTGGTTAGTAATTAATTAAATATTTTTATAATACTTGAATCAAGGAAAGGCATCGTTCACAGATCACGGTTTGATATTTCGTTTGTATGTTTTGTCAAGTGTTTTTCGCCGTTTCTCTCCTCCCCCAAAAAGTCTTTCAATGAATTTTAATCAAGCCTTATATGTCTGAAGTTTCTTGTTGATAGCACTTATTAATCAATTTGCTCCATTTCCGTTATCACTTTAAGCTTTCCACTACGATTGGTTGACTATACCATGTTACTCCCCTGGCCATCAGTCGAACGTTCCTCTACCGTTCACGTTCTTACGAAGGTTTGAAGTAACGGCAGTTATTTCATTAAGCTACTAAAGGAACGTCTCTGTGCCGAGATTGCGTTCCATTGACGTTGTTTTCCCATGTTTATATTAAACGCAAATGTAACATATGTTTTATTTACCTTCACATTAATATTTCATATTTTGACATTCAGAAAATCGACTTGAATATGACGTTGGCTGATGAAATGGGTCGCAAACTACCTGCAATTGATGTTTTTGCTATGGCAATAGAATACCTTGTTGATGATATGCATGATGCAATCAAAGACAGAATGTCCGGAGTTATTGAGAAGTCTGAGGTTCATTGGGTTATCACTGTTCCGGCTATTTGGACAGACTCTGCAAAACAGTTCATGAGAAAAGCTGGTGAACAGGTTTGTTATCTTTATATTCATTGATTTAGTTTTCATTTAAAAGTTTATTGTTTTATTTAAATAATAAAAAATATCAAAGGTATTGCTGTTGACAATTTATTAACTAAAAATGTCTCTTCAGGCTGGAATCGATGATCGCAAATTAAGTATCGCCCTTGAACCAGAAGCGGCCTCCATTTTCTGTCGCCATTTGTCAGTTGAAAAAAGAGTCGACACTACTAATGTCTGCATTGCTTCCTTCCCAGCTGGAACAAGATACATGGTACTTGATGCTGGAGGTATATATTTTTAGACGCTAATCTTACGTTTTTCAATCTTATGTAATTTTCAGAAGTAAGAACTGTATATTAATACTTTTTAGAAAATACAGGTACTAATATGTCATTTATATATGCAATAGCACTGCTATGTATAATAAAGAAATGACGTTAAACAAAAATTTTTAAACGATTCATTCTAAACGTAAAGATATTACGGCTTTATTTGGTTCTCCAGTTTTTAAATTTTGTTTTGCCCATAAAATTCAAAGGTAGTTTAGACATTTTGCGAACGTTTAAGTGTATTTTGTTTATCAGGTGGTACAATAGATATCACAGTCCATGAGGTCCAAGCTAATGGCGCTGTAAAAGAAATACAAGCAGCAAGCGGAGGCGGTTGGGGTGGTACTCTTGTTGACCAGGCGTTTGAAAAGTTGATCATTGATTTAGTAGGGAAAAGGGTTTATCAGGATTTCAAACAGGAAAGCCCGGATGATTGGCTAGACCTTTGGCGCGATTTTGAACTGAAGAAAAGAACAATTAAACCTGATAAGGAGACAAAGGTTGTCATGAAGATACCCGAAAGTCTTCGTGAACAGTATAAAAGTAAATTCCAAAAAACTTTTAAAGAAGCTGTTGAATCATCTTCATATGCTGAAAATATTACATTTGTTGCTGACAAGATGAAGTTTGACGCAATCGTATTTAGAAAGCTTTTTGATGTCTCGTTGACCAAAACAATACAGCATACGGAAATATTAATGAGAGATCCAGCTGTCCGACAGATTAAGGCCATTTTAATGGTTGGAGGTTTTTCGGAGTCGCCTATGCTCCAAGACAAGGTTAAATCCTGCTTTCGTGGCATTGATGTTATCATACCTGCAGAGGCGTCCTCGTCGATATTGAGAGGGGCGCTTATCTTTGGACACAGTCCAACTTCGGTCTCTGAAAGAGTTTTAAAGTATTCTTATGGTATTGCCATGTATACAGCTTTTAGAAAAGGTGAACATCCAGAAAACCGGTATGAAATGACTGATTCAGGACCTAAGTGCAGAGACGTTTTTGACAAGCATGTTGAGAAAAACCAAATAGTTAAAGTGGGAGAGACACAAGTATCCCAAACGTACACACCGACAAGCAAAAACCAGACTTGCATTCCATTTCGTATTTTTGCTTCAGAGTTAAGAGATCCCAAATATACCGATGTAGGTTGCAAATTCATTGGAAAACTGGAAATAGAGCTTACAGATCATGATGGAGATTTAACACGTGAAATCAATGTTAACTTCACATTCAGTGGTACAGAAATTGAGGTATCAGCAAAGGATGTCAAAACAGGAAAGTCGGAAAAAGCATCTATCAATTTTCTCGGCTAATCAGTGATACATAAATGTCATAAAAGCGGAATCTAAAGTTATTTGTTTAATATGGATGGATTGAGTGACTTCTGACATGAGGTTAATTACGTGTTTTACCTTACAATTTATGTTACATAAATGATAATAACATTTTCCGTTTCAACGTGTGGTTGTTTAAACACACATTTACTATAGAAGTAATGAAATGCTGACATAGGCATTTTCTTCTTCAACATTTAACAATAATCATAGAAACCACATAATTATATGCTTAGAGTTTTTACACTTTTATAAACAGATTTTGATGATTTTGCATCACAATTGTTAGTGTTGGAATTATCTTTATTAGAAATAAAATTAACAAAAATACTGTATGCTTTAAAAATGCTACAATTGAGATAATTTTTAAATTTGCCATGATGATCATTTTTACATAATGATATGTAATACGTGAGTATGATAATACAGTCAGATGATTGAATCATAATGTGTTATGATTTTTCACTGTTCACATAATGAAACGGCCATTTTGTTTAGGAATATTTTACCGAAATATATGACCATTATTTGTGAAAATGTTTTGAAATCCAAACCCTGATAAACTCGACAGGACTCTCAATATACTTCAACTCATATGTATTCGAACCTCAATAGTTAAAATGATTCCTATTCATGCTTTAGAAGAAAATGATTATAGGTTACAAGGGAGACATTATTAATAATATTCTTATAATTTTTGCCCTTCAAATTTTTTGGTTCTAGTTTTTTTGCAGTTAATTCTTAGTTACTCTTTATAGAATAAAATTTTATTATTAAAAATTAGTTTTTGAAAGGTTTCTTTATTGATATCAAGGACATGTATCATTTGCAGTATTTCCAAATTTTACATTATGAATGTAAAGTTACCTATCAATGAGGACCCTTTGTATTTGCAGAGTGAGTAAGTGAGTGATTAACCACGTTTTATTTTGATTCAGACATTTTGATATTTTCATTGACAATTTCAATTAATTTATTCCGTTTTCAGCAGGATATTTCTGATGGGTTTTTGGTATTTCAAAATGAATTTGCAGAATATTTGACATCTGGCCGGGTGCTTTATGTTGAGCTATTTTATTTGTGGATTCCTAGATTTATTGTATTCATATATTTCAAATTTTCTTATTTTACATTAAAAATGTAAATTTAAGTTACCTATCAATGAATACCCTTTTCTTAAAGAGAGTCAGTGCTTAGAACCTGCTTATGCATGATGGTTTGGAAATTTTTATTGATTTCGAGAAATGTAACAGATATTTTATTGTCAAGCTTTAGAAATGTTAATCTATTTTTTGTTTCAGTTTAAGGCATTTTATGCCTCAGAAACGAATAACAAAAAAAAAAAAAAAAAAAAAAAAAAAAAAAAAAAAAAACAAAAAAAAAAAAACAACTACAAGCAATCAAACAAACAAAATCATTCATTTCTAATCATTCAGGAATGTGAAATGACATTCAAACTTTAGTGTGTTGTTTTAAATTTTACTTAAAATACAGGATTTTTACATTGGGATTAATTTGCCTTAAAATATGTAAAGTATTATGTGCATTTTGTTTATGGTGATGTGGTATATTAACTTATTCTTCATATTTATATACGTAGTGTTAACTTTTGTATAGTTTGTGTACCTTGAATAAATTAAAGAAAAAGTCTTCATTTTATTGCTGTATCTGAACAAGCTATTCCACCTTTTATGTTTCAAAACGTTATTTTTTACAATTTAGCATAAACTTGAGAAAAAATATAGAGTGCGTTTTCTGTATTCACAAATTAAAGATAGAAAAATGGGACGGGGATAATTTGACGAAAGGACACACCTTAAAAGAATAACATTAAGTTGTTCATATCATCATTTGAGTAAAACAGAATTGTTTTTTATTTAGAAAATAAATGTTTATGCTCAATAGAGAGCAACAGAAATTCTTAAATGATACAATTTTTAGCAAAGCATTGTTGACTATTATTCAGTAAAAGAAATGAAAAATAACAAAAACAATTTTCCGCATTAAGTACGATTGACTATATACTATTACTATTACTGAGTTGCAAAAGAAAGTGTTAACTTGGCTTGTGGGAAAAGGTACTTTTATTCAAGAAAATTATTGGCATATTTGATATCAATGGCAGAAATGTATTACACGATGGTAATTATTGACATTTTATAATTATCAGAACTTTGGTTACGTGTAAATGGCTCAGTGTGAAAAGTACATATTGCAGAACTGTGCTTTTAGTAAATGCGTTTTTTTTGCATTTGGATACTTAAATATTTAAATGGGACATTATATTCAAACTATCTTTCATATGAGGTCGGCAAGGTCCATGCAGCTTCGAATTCTCGTTGATGGTGGTAATAGATATTAAATAATTGTCAAGTTACTATAAGACAAGGGCATTATAAAAATGCAAATGATCACCACGTTTTAATACAAAGTAAAGCGTTGTGTTGTCAATACATTTCTACAAACTTTAATACCAAATTGGCCACTTTTTTGCACAATTATGTATACAAAATATCCAATTTACACAGTGAACATGCTTAAATATATTGTCAACAATGGAAGCATGTCTTTGTTAATAAGTTGTCAAATTCGATTTGGAAAATAAAGTATAGATATGGAGAGCAACTTTTAAGGAAATTAACCATATTCGAAATATCAAATCATAATGGTCAGATTGATAGACTAGGAATGTTACCTAGTGATCAACAGGATAGAAAAAGAGGGGGACAGATGATGGAAAAACTTTAAATGAAGGTTATAATCTCAAATAATAATAAGCACGTGACAAACTAAAAAAAGAAATAGGATATCGTCACAAACTTACCGGTTGTCTTGTAAAGCGGTGTATTGTAGTGAACATCGCCTTGTTTACATGATCTTTGTTTCATATTTTATCTGCGTAGTTGTAGAGATTATAAGCGTTTCAAACTCAATCAATTAAGTTGGTCTGTAACAAAAAATTAGAGTAGACAAAATATTAAAAGGGGCACAATTATATAAAATGTTAACATGTGGATTACAGTCTGAATATTAAAAAATCTGAGGTACACAGGATTAAAGGGTTTTTACGTCAGAAAACATGGTCAATAGCTCGTTTCAATCCCAATGAGTCTCCGTCTTACAAATGCTTATTTAAGTATCTAACATTTATGGAAACGGCACGTTAGATTATTTTTAATTTACACTATGTGTCTTTGATGAAAATGTCAAACCAATTTCAGAGTTGTAGAAACTGTATCCCTTTAAGTCGCTGTGCTGTTGGAAAAAATAAGAAAATAGTACAATAAAGTGAAAAGCAGTCTTTAACATTTGCCTTTATTACCATATGAACTCAAATGGTACAAAATATTGTTCAGATGTTTTACCATCCAAATGCATAAATTATTTTTTTATGATTCCTATAAAATAAATGAAATTGATATTGATATTACATAGATCTTATATGACGTATGATTTTTCAAAGATACAAAACAGTTAAATAAATAGTGCCAAGAAGTTACGGTTTGCTACCTTTAATCTACCTTGCTCCCGACCGTCTTTAGAAAAGATCATCATTTACATATCAAGTATTGGATAATAATTATTGAAAGCTTAAAATTTTACTTTCCCCTGTCTTGAAGACAGAATATACATGTAGATGGCCGATTACTACTACGCGGATCTTACTTGAAAGAATAAAGTTTATTAGCTACAGGTAAATGCTTCATTGCCTTATGGATGGAACATATTACATATTTGCAAACTTCATCAAAACATTGCAATCCGTGACTCTGTGACCCATCGTTATCACCCGTAACATAATTTGGGCAGTGAGGAAAATTTTCGCAATCAGACGTTATTGTACAAACTAAATAAAACAACAGGAAGTGAATCAGTTTAGTATTTTATGCCACCGCAGCATCTGCGATGAGGTGGCATATAGCGATTAACATGTGTGTTTGTGTGTGTGTTCTATAGATTATATAGTGAACTTAAAAATTCTACTTGTGAAAAACCACAAGTCCAATTTCAACTAAACTTGGCAGGATTGATCCTTGGGTGAAGGGCTTCCAAAGTTGTTCAAAGAATTTCATTCCATGCAGAAATCTGGTTGCCATGGCAACCAAAAGGAATTATAAGAATAAATTAAAAAAAATCTTCTTGTAAAGACCCAAAATGCCTAGAGCTTAGATATTTTGCATAAGGCATTGTCTGGTAGACCCTTACCAAGATTGTTCAAATTATAGCCCTGGGGTCAAAATATACTATCATCTATAGGTCCTCTACCAAAGTTGTTCAAATTTATCCCCTGGTGTCAAAATTGGCCCTGCCCGGGGGCAGTGATTCTCATTATGTACACATAGTAAAAACAGAAAATAAAACAAATGTTTTCTGAATGAGAGAAAGCTACAGCTTAGATATTTGACTTGAAATGTTGTTTGGTGGACCCGCATCAAGATTGTTTTGAATGAAATCCTTGGGTCAAAATTTTGCCTTGCCCAAGGGGATAGTGACCTACTTTCTTGTCCTGTGATGTACAGCATCAAAAAGATGTAAAGTGAACTTTGATAGCATCTGACCTAGATTTTGACAAAGTGTCTTACTGTGTTGTTGGGGTCATATAGTAAAAACTTAAACTACCTCCATGTAAAGACCAAAAAGGCATAGGGCTTAGATATTTTGCATAAGGCATTGCCTGGTAGATCTCTACCCAGATTGTTCAAATTATAGCCCTGGGGTCAAAATCGGCCCCGCCCCAGGGGTCATGGATTTTCCTTATATGTATATAGTAAAAACTTATAGTAAAAACTTCTTCTAGCAATTGACAAATGCTAGAGGTTAAATATTTTGCATGAAATATTGTGTAGTGAACCTCTAGCAAGATTGTTCAAATTATAGCCATGGGGTCAAATTGCCCCGGGGGTCATTGATTTTCAATATATATATAGTAAAAAATCAAACAATCTTATTGTCTGAAGGTACAAGGCTTAGAGCTTTAATATTTGTTAAATGATATCATCTATAGGTACTCTACCAAAGTTGTTCAAATTTTCCCTCTTGTGTCAAAATTAGCCCCGCCCCGGGGGTCATAGGTTTTCCTTATATGTATATAGTAAAAACTTAAAAAATCATCTTCTATTAATTTACAAAGGCTAGAGTTAAGATATTTTGCATGAAACATTGTGTAGTGAACCTCTAGCAAGATTTTACAAATTATAGCCCTAGGGTCAAAATTGGCCCCACCCCCAGGGTCTTTGATTTTCACTATGTACATATAGTAAAAATTTAAAAAATCTTTCTGACTAAAGATACAAGGCTTAGAGCTTTAATATTTGGTATATAATATTATCTATGGGTCCTCTACTAAAGTTGTTTTAATTATGCCCCCAGTGTTAAAATTGCCCTGCCCAAGAGGCGATAGTTTTCCTTATATGTATAAAGTAAAAACTTGAAAAATCTTCTTCTCTGAATTGACAAAGGCCTGGGGGTCATTGATTTTCATTATGTACATATAGTAAAAAAATAAAATCATATTTTTGTCTGAAGGTACAAGGCATAAGGCTTTGATGTTTGCTATATAATATCATCTATATGTCCTCTACCAAAGTTGTTCAAATTTATCCCCTGGTGTCAAAACTGGCCCTGTCCGGGGGCAGTTATTCTCATTATGTACACATAGTAAAAACAGAAAATAAAACAAATGTTTTCTGAATGAGAGAAATATACAGCTTAGATGTTTGACTTGAAATGTTGTTTGGTGGACCTGCATCAAGATTGTTTTGAATGAAACCCTTGGGTCCATATTTTGCCTTGCCCAAGGGGATAGTGACCTACTTTCTTGTCCTTTGACGTACAGCAATGAAATTTTGACCATGTGCACAGTTTTAGTTGTAAAATTGAACGTTGATATCAGGTGACCTAGATTTTGATGATGTGACCTACTTTCTTGTCTTTTGATGTATAGCTATGAAATTTAAACCATGTGCACAGATTAAGATGTAAAGTGAACTTTGATATCATCTGACGTAGATTTTGACAAAGTGTCTTACTGTGTTTTCCTTTGATGTAGTCATGAAATTTAGGCTGTGTGAAATATGAACTTCACCACCAAATTCACTAGACTCAAGTGCATTGATATATTCCTACTCTGATCTTTTATTGGATTAACAATAGATTTTACCACTTATCTGATAATAAGAATTAGATAGGTCAGAGATCTATGCGTAATGACAATCTTCAATTGTAAAGAAACAAAAAAAATGTTCATACACTACTATTTAGTGTTGTATTAATGCGGTGGCATAGCATTTTTCTCAAATGCAATCTTGTTT